TGACCTCCAGATAGACGCACCCCTCTCTCCCCTACCAGGGTCTCATAACCTTCCTCAAAGGATGAGATGAAGTCGTGGGCATTGGCCATCTTCGCGGCTTGCTCAATCTAAACAAGAGTTGGAAAAAATTCAGAGCTGAAGCAGTTTGAATCCCTTGACTAAATAGTCCCCAATCCTTCTGCTTCAAAGTGATTTTTCACAAATCCTAGAAGCATGGCAAAGAACTGATTTTCACTGAATTTTGAAGCAGTGTATGTTATGGATAGATTCATTAATTCTCAGAAGGCACCCACCATCGTTCTTTTCACAGAGTCAACCACAATTATTGCAAAACTGTCAAGTTTAAAGCTACAAGGAGCAAAGTTACAGAAGTAGGGCTATGGATCATTGAAGTGACATTCATGGGGTTTTTTGCCACAGAGTATCACCTCCAAGATGATTCCTTCCAGTTTCTGATCCTTTCTCATGTCTTCCCAAGGGGGTACTTCAGGACAATTGGCTCAGTGCAAGAACTGACGAAGGCGCTACGGTCGAAATGACCACAGATAATTCAATCCCCGATGGCGAACATCTTACAAGGTGGTCAATATAGTCTGGCACCTGTGCTAACCTCCTCATCCATTGCATTCTTGCCGTAGGCGATATTCTCCTTGATGGAACAGGCAAACAAGGACGGCTCCTGACTGACCATAGATATCTTGCGCCGGAACCACGTTGGATCAAGCTCAGACAAATCAACACCGTCTATGCCCAAAAAGAGAAGACAAGATGTGACAAATTTAATAGCCATGCATGAAAGACAGCAAACCAAGAAAATGGAATTGACTTAACCCCTGTGTAAACTCCCTGTCTGTATTAGATCATCAGTCACTAGAGCAGACAGCTTGGTTTCAGAGAGTAATCAGCTAAATGCAGCCACAAGCTGCATTTGAAGCAGAACACGTGGCACTCAATTATAATTTGATATGCATTAATGTCATTTTTCTTAAATGTTCATGAGCAAAGTATGATAAAAAATACACATCCATCACTGAAAAAGTGAGAAAGTCAAGTCCATCGCAAGTCCTTGCACAAAACTGCTCAAAAGTAACAAGGTGAAACAGTGACAGAGGAATGCTTTTTTTTAGTTCATTTGAATGGCTTGGATGACTTGTGCAGGACTTGCAAGGCTTAGGATGGACCCGACCTTACCATAACACTGCAACAAACTGACAAGCAATGAAAACAACAGTAACCTAATCAATGCTCTCGCAGTTACCCGACTGCTTTGATGAACAAAATGTTTGAAAATCCCACCACATTGTCAATGCATTCCGGCTGTTAACCAAACAACGAATGCGAAAAAAAATGAACAGCATTCTTGGTAAACTTCACCAAGCCAAGACTCACCAAGTTTGATGGATCCTGCACCAGGCTCATAGAATCTCTCGATCAGGTTGACTATGGTGGACTTGCCCCCGCCCGAGGGTCCAACCAGTGCAATGACCTGGCCTGGCTTCATCGAGAAAGACACGCCCTATGCAAGATACATATGACTCTCTGGTCATTATGATTACCCAAATTTACCTCCCATCACAGGGCAACACATTACTCATAAACAGCACCAACATTGGCAATCCTCCTTCGCCTTGGCTTTTTTTACCACAGTGTAACTTTGAGGGTCTCCGAATTGTGGCTTCATCTCCATATATGAATTTATTCCCAACATCCAAAGCACTCAGGGGCCTACAATGAAAACAGTTCTATCTCTGGGCTGATGGCATACAATTCCGATCTCATCTAGTGAAAATGACTTTGAGCTAAAAACTCCAAAGTCAGGTGGTCAAAACTCGGGTGAAACACAAAATAAGAGACAAAGCCAAGATTTTAAAAATCTATATGACTAGAAATGCAAACAGCCATTCCTGCTTGTCCTACTCACTATTACACTAGATTTTAATTATCTAAACCATTGTCAAGTAACATGCAATTGAGAAAAGTACATGTACAGGGAAGTTGTACAAGGGTTAACCTTAAGGGTTTAAACTTACATATGTCACGACTATCTCTATGGAAGCACAAATGTCAAATCTCATATAAGAGTTGGTAAGATTCTGGAAAACAAATCTTTGTGGTGCTTATACATGTCCACCAGACAGACACCACAACTGTCTGGATTCTGGAACACCTACTCCAGGCAGACCAGCCAACGTACCTTGAGTACCTCATTGTCGGGCCTAGAAGGATACCTGAAATGAACATCATTGAACTCTAGCTCTCCGATGAATTCCATCAGCCGCTGGCCCCCTTCGTTGTTGACTTGCGGCTGGCGGTCCATGAGATCAAAGATGCGAATGGATGCACCCACCGCCTTCATGAAATCACCGTACAGGGAGGCCAAGAAAGCAAACGCCATGGCAACGTTGAGCGTGTACAGCATGAATGCTGGAAAGCATTGTGAGTGACAAAAATACTAATTGCACAGTTGTAGCTACAAATATAGTTCCACTTTTCTACTCAAAAAAATCCAGGGTCCCCGGTAGAGTCATAGGGGATCTAATAACCATGTTCGGTAGAATTTAGAATTAAGTTCTAAATCACTTAAAGGGTCTATGTGATTCAAATCGGCAAAGACAACTTTTAAAAATGCACTTTTACGTCTCAGTTAACCTTATTTTTAATTGGGATTTTGGTTTTTATGCAGTAGTTTTATGAGTAGTTCCATATTCATGAGCAAAACTGTGATGTCATCCCTGGAAGAAAACCTGCATGTTACTTTGATCTGTGCACAAACAGATGCCGAAATTTGTCATATTTTGCCGGCCTAGATGTCCTGTCCTTTGCTGATTCATTGTGTGTATCAGTTCATGGCAATAAACTAACGAGAATATTGCATAGAGCAACCCTTTAAACAGAAAAAGTTATTTGGTAGCCATTGGCTCCTAGCGGGGAAAAATCTAGGTGCCAGCACTTTTATGAAAGTTTAGTAATCATGTGCATTGAATACTCATGAACGTACATTTACGCACACACATGTAGTATAAATACCCTGTGTTTATATTGCCCATCCGTGTCGTTGAATCATGACCCGGCCCGGCCCGGCACATGTACACCACACAGCGTGCATGTACAGGTACATGTACACAAGCGCTTATGAGGTCAATCCACGGAATCAGGGATCTCACCAAGGAGTTTAGCCATGAACGTTATGATGTCTGTGGTTTCAGCGTGTCGCGGGATACCCTACTTCATGAATCACACTATTTTCGACACTCTACATCACGGTGACACCCTTTAATTCTGGTATGAGCTCCGTTTCACTCTAAACTTTCAGGCTTCATTTACATTGCAGCAAAAAAGCAGCAAAAATGGAGCCCAAGCCTGGTTTGTAAAATGGACTTGGTGTCCGTATACAGTGCATCAACAATGTATGATTAGATCGGGAATCCAACCAACATGTGCGTGTGATCGCAGTATCATATACATGTATGTACGTGTACAGCGCACATGGTAAGCTTTAAATTCACGACGCGACTTGCACTGCCATTTCTACTTTCCCAGAATGATTTTTGAGCACATAATCATTGCTTTTTGATTTTTAAGCGTACTCAAAATTGTTCAAGTACATTTTGTGTGTAGTTTTCAAGCATCTTAAGTTGCAAATGGCGACTGTATGGTGAAAATATGATCGCATTGGCAAAAATTTGGTTGCACTTGTGACTGATTGAGGGGCTATTTAAGGCGTTGGCATCGAGAAAGTTTTGGTTTTGACAGTTTTACGGGAAAATGCTATAAAATGAACATTGTCTTCCCTGCTTGACATCACAGCACCAGCGCCCTCATAGTTGTTCGGTAAAGCATGGAAAACTCGAAAGATTTTTTAAAAAGTGCACGTTTCAATTCTTAACCCAAATAATGTCAACTAGTCTTCATACTAAGTAGGTAAAAAGCTGCACAAAAATATTTGAAAACTTAGTAAATTGGCCTCTTTTAGCAAAGGTAACTCCAAAAATGTACACCCATTAACTGCACACATCTGGCTGTTAAATGTCCACAACATACGCATGCTGTCTTAGCTCCCCTCCCCCAACAAAAAAACTTTTGTGCTGACTTGTTCTTGAGAAGTTCAGAGCACAGCATGAGATATGTAAAGCATGTTAAAAGGTTTCACCAACACCATTATTTCCCAATTACCCCGGTAAGGCGGGCCAGGATTCCCCTTTACTGATGAATGAGATATGTAAAGAGTGTTAAAGGTTTCACTGATGGCAATACGATCAACTACATGCAGGCTTCCGTCTTGAATCTTGACTATGAATTAATCAGCTGTTGTTGACGACACCCATCTGGCCAGATGTTTCTGAATGTTCAGCGGCCTGAGTTCTTGCACAGGTAACTTGAACAGTCGAACTTTCCTCTGAGGTGACTAACTATGGTGGCCTTTATATGACATCCTATTATTCTTTCACACAAACAAAAATTGAACAATTCTAGTTCCTTCAGGATGATACAAGTAGCTACTTTCTTTCATGGCACTACTACAAACTTCTATGATGTTTGGATATTGAGAGTTTTCTGCTTGATTCGGGGGGAAAGGGGTAAAGACAGTATTAATGCTGTATGTATAAAATGAAATTATCTTGCAGTCACAAAATAAATTTGTGATGCGACAAAATAAGTTCATGGATATGTTGTCACTTCAGGCACACTGCAAAATGGCCTAAAGAGGACCAAGGGTATCTTAGGGTAGAGAGGGCACATCTGAGGTCTCACCTGTTAGAATACCAACAGAGATGCCTTGTGTGCCTTGTGATGTCACATTCAGATGAACAAGCTTGCCACCATACCAAAGTACAAGGGCTATAGCTCCCTGTGTCAAATGAACAGAGGCACATGTACAGCAACAGGTGAAGTTGGGACAGACAGCAGGTACTGTTCATGGACAGCTTGGGCATTGTCCATGAGTTCTGCATGCACAAAATGATGACTTCAGATCCTTCCCCCTATATGCATGGCACACACAGCAGTTCCTACTCCCCCCCCCCCCCGACGTACCGCTCTGCATATAACCCTTGGACGTATCAGACCAGCTGTGCAGGTTACAGCTCGATCAACGTACATGTAGTGGGAGCCAAACTATTTCGGTGATTGGTATCTGTATATATGGGGGACAGTACATTAATTCATGTCAATATCAAAAGCAAAATCAGTGCCGTTACACTGCACATGTATGAATCACCAAAGACCCCTCTTTCACAACGCAAGGTACCTGCAATGCCAATAACCATTCCCCCTCCTTGCCCTGCACTCTACGGATAGTCCCTTGGGTGTGAATAAACTACAATAGCTGTGGCCATCAATCTCCTCCCACTAACAAACGGTGTTGAGTGGCAAGATTCTGTACACACCTCCTCTGGCACAAATCGTCTGTGCTATCAGACCGAAGCTTATGTGAGTCTGCCTTGGTACGACAACCCACCTACCCATGATTTAACACCTTGGGAACGGATTTGTTTTATTTTTGGCGCCCAGGTTGTGCATTTTTCACACACTCACCTGTGAAATGATGCCAACCAACCCATTGAAGATCCCATAACCTGTGGCCAGAGACTTTCCATGCTTGTAACTCAGTGCAATCTCTTTGTCGTAAGACACCTGTGATTTTTTCTCGCCGCTGAACGAGCGCACGGTGCGTATGCTGGAGATTGACTCTTCGGCGACAGTGCCTGCACTTCCCAAAGCATCTTGGAAGTTCTTCTGTATATTCTTCATAAAGTTTCCTGGGAATGAAAGAATACTTTTTGAAACCTCTAAGTTTTAACACTTTTGAGGTGAGGGTTCTGGAGGTGCTTTGCTTTCTCAAACCTGGCCATCTAGTGTTCTTTTTTTTTGCCAGTTTGTTAGCAAATGACTTAGAAGATTTTCTTTTTACCACCGAAGACCATCCTCATGTTTCGTTCTTCCCCTAAGTTACCCCGTTTCATCCCCCAAATCTTAAGTTCTTTTTTTTTGTAAATTTTGCAAAAGTGTCCAATTTTGATCCTAATATTAAGAACTGTAAAAAGAAAAAATTCATGCATGATTTTGATTTTCACATGATTTTGACTTTCACCCAGAGCTACATGTATTGGATTGGACCAACCTCCAGTCTGATCCGACACACATCCTTACCACTTACCATACTGGACAGCTCCAATGGCGACGACGGGCACAACAGACAGCAGAACACCGGTCAAAGCGGCGCTCTGAGTGAACATGATGACAATAGAACCCAATATTTGGACCAAGTATCGCACCAACATCGAAACATTCACCTAGAAAGAGAAGACAAAGAAAGAAAGGACTACCTCAGATTTAAGCAAGACGTTTCTCTGACTTGTACCTAGCGTGAAAGAGAGCTACTTGTGCGCAGCTGGGCCATGCAGGAAAATAGACAACACTGCCCTTTCCCTCCCACTTCGGGAGGTGCGGCTTAGCTGAATGGGGAAGGCGTAAAAACCAGTTGCTTAGAGAGAGAAACCACCTCACTGGTTAACATGGTTAATGGTCATTAATTGAAGCCATTACCTCGAGGACTCTTTCGCTCATTTCTGCCGAAAAACTTCCAGAATCCTACAAAAAGTCCCTAAGGAACCACAATTAAATCTTTAAAAACCCTACTTTTAAACAGCATTGATAGAATTTTGCAGTCTACAATCCTGCACATATACTATAACCAATCTTGTTGGATCTTAGAGGTTTGGATAGGATTCGGCTCATCGATGCCCAAACTTACAGAACACACACTCGAATAAATCAACATTTCACATTTTCGCACACATTCAATTGGTGCAAGGTTGTTTCTTCAGTACAATAACTTCTGTTTGCAAGTTAAACCAAAGCAAGATCCTAAATCAAAGTACAGTGTTCCATCTGTGCCATAAACCGTCACATTTTAAAATTTTGCATCGCATCTTTGATTTTGTATGTGACAGCCAATCCAAAATTGTAACATCGAATCCTAAAATGCGACGGTAAATCCAAAAATGCGATGGCACAAACAAATAGAGAAAGTATAAAAGAGCCTGAACTACCGTGACAGCATTTTGCAGGACTGCCGTGTCTGACGACAAACGGTTGGTTAGTTCCCCAGTCCTGTTGGTGTCAAAGAAGGCCACCTCCTGTCGGATGATGGAAGCAAACAGATCTCGGCGGATGCGACACACGACGCGATATCCGGCCAGGGTAAAGGACCAAGAACGGAGCAGGGAAGCAATCGACCCCCCGACAAAGATGAAAAACAACATCAGCACGGTATGGTTGACAGCAGCTGTGATCACAAATATCCAACAGTACACAAATACAACACGGTTTGAGGGGCGGATAATATGCAATACAACATGGTGTATGGGTGGATAGTATATATACATGTATGAAACATGGTTTGAGGGTAGATAGTTGGTGTTTTCACCTCAGGAGCTAGTTTGCCAACTTCCAATACCTCAGGAAGCTTCAATCAACTAGCCATCCAAAAAATAAACCATGCTATAGAGGATTTTCAGCCACATGATTTTTGACGGTCAGCATTCAGATTACATTGCGCTCGCTTTCGAAGTCTCTCAACACTCTGGCATATGAAACTGCCAACTGAAATACACAGATGTGAAAATTTATGCACATGCCTCTACGGACATGCTGCGCTTCCTGAAATACCTTTGGCCATTACGTTTACGCCACCTGAAACCCTGTGTCAAAACCATTGAGAATCTGGCTCTTGATCATGAATATGTATATGTATTAGTATGCTAATTTACAGAGTAATTTCCAATAGTTGATTTAGTACTCCAACAGAGCATGCACCTGATAATGTAAGAAAAACCCTAGAAATCCATTTAAAAACAATCAAAATGGAATTCAGCTGTCATGACCTCTCTTACCCATAGACTTGTGAGTAGCAGCATCAATAACAAAGCCAAAGAACAGAGGCGCTGCCATGGCAGCCCCACTGGAGACAATCAGACTCAGCATGCCAATCAGAATAAGGAGCCATTCCTGCATTGAAGATCCACAGGAGCACTTGCTAAATCCAAAACTACTTATTTGAACTTAGATAGCATCTGACAGGAGAGCCTAATGTTATTCAACAAACCCCAAAAAATTTTTTATCAATAGAAGCATCCCACAAAGTCCTTCACAGCTCCAATAAAAGTTTAATTGGAAAAAACACAGTATGACATCTGCAAGAAATGTAAAAAAATGAGGATCAAAAGAAAGGATACTGTCAACTGGGCTAAAATTCTCTAAAATGATTCTATAAAAGTCATTTCATCGTAAAATACACCTGAAGCAGCCTGAAAGATTTTTAATGTGTAAACTTTGCTTTAATCCTTTTTAGCTTTATATTAAATTCCAGCAAGCCTGCGAAAGATGCCTCAAACCACAGGGTATTAAACCTTGGCAGCACTTAATTAAGCTAAGACTTAAGGCTCCATACAAAAATATCGGATCAACAATGATAATATTTCTGTTTTTAGAAAAGCAGAACAATGAAGATTATAACCTACCCAAGTTACCCCAGAGTAGAGTTTGAGCTGGTAACCTTTGTTTTTTAAGCCAGGTTTTTTCGCACTTAAGCAGATGTTGTGCTTAAGCAGCTCTATGAAATTGGCCCCTGGTTCTTGCTCTGATGCATTTTACACATATAATTGTGCGTGATGTATTCACTTTGGTTCTCTATTTCTTACTGTTACAATGTATGATAAAAACATGGGGCGTTTACTTCATCGAGATTGTTCAAAAATGTGAGCAAACAACTGTTCATCAAGTAAATTGTGACGGAAGTTAGCCTGGGGCTAAGTAAACTTGAACTACCAAAAAACTCTTCTAATGATTGTAATTGACTCACCGGTTTAGCCAAGCCAAACAACCGTCTGAGATTTGCCTTTGGTTCCTCCTCTTTCTTCTCGCTATCGTCAGGGATTTCGTGCTTGATGCGAATGACCTGCAGCCGGCGTAGAAACATGGGGCCCAGAACAGCTGTCAGGAATTCCACCAGAGAGAATGCGGCGGCGCTGATCACCAGCGCATTGTAAGTGATGTGCATGGGCGCGTAGTCGGGGTCGTTCAAGAGCGCATTTAACACCAAGCCTCCCTTGACGGATGCATACGCTAAGCAGGCCAAAGACAAGGCAACAGTCGATATATGAAGATTGCGTTTCTTGACCATTATTCCGGGCATGTACGGATCCTCCAGCATCGCCAATGCCAGGTCTTCAAGTTTCGTGAATGCATAGAACAGCAGTGACATCTTTACAATGCCGATGCATGCAAGTTCAAATACAGATCCTGTGATAGTCCACTTCAAGACACTTGATTCCAGATACTGATCATGACCACCTGTTCAGAGACAGCCACAAATTATGTTGCATTTGTGAATTTGGAAAAAGGTCAAATGCCTGTACCTCAAAATATCTTCCAAATTCTTTCCAAAAAGGAGGTATAAGGAATGAACGTTAAATCTACACAGCTTCACACATATAAAAGCATAAAGTTTCCTGAGCAAGATTTGTGTCCCGGCTAAAAAACATATTTTTGTGCCTTCGCTTGTACACGTACAGGTACACGTACATCCATTACTCAAAAAGGTTTTAAAATTTTTTACAGGCAGGTGTACATACACTTAAAGTACTTACTTGTTACCGGGTTATCATGGTTAAGGGGAAAACACACATTAAAATATAAATATTGTGGGACTCGCAGCTGTTCCCAAACTTGGTCCCAAATTTCCAACCAAAGAAATCAGCCCCTTAACCACTCCCTGCCAGGCAACCCGTTTTTGAGTACATAGGCTTTATATGCAGAGCCGGGAGCCCAGAACTGGGACAAAAGAGTTGGGCCTTATAACAAAAGACCGTGCTCAGTACAAAAGACTGAGCTGCTGGGCATTACTGACATTTTTTTGCTCTCAATGGTGGAGATAATCCAGCCTTGTTTGAGGCATTTAGAGCGAGCGGATTACCACCAGGGACAAAAGCTCTCCACCACTGCAGGGATGAGCCACACAGCAGTGCTGCACGCTAATCTGGCCCCTATTGAAAAGAGATCAGCAGTGAACTGTGCCCGTTTCGGGAACAAAAGAATCTTACGTAACACCGCACAATCAGGGCTCTTTTTCCAAGGCTGCAGGCCTGGCTGAAATATTCAGGAGTCACTGAATTTTACCTGTCAGCTTTAGAATAACGGCCAAAGAGTCCTTCATTTTGGTATAAACGTCCATTAAATGAAATGATGAATTTTTGAAGAATTTTCAAAACGGAAAATCTTGAAAATGAGCCGGCATTTTGTCTTGCTCAAGAAAAAACCACCTGGCAACAAGTTGTTAATGTCAAGGCTTACCAACACTGGCAGTAGGACCTGCCTGTGACCAGTGTTGTAGTCGAGACCACTTAAGACCTTCCCAAGACCATACAGGACCAACACAAGACCTCCAGTCTGAATTCAAGTCACAAGCCTATCAAATCAACTGCAACAAAAGCATTCCTTTGTCATTGTTCAACCTGTTACTTGGGATGGGTCTCATAAATGGTCTTGTGACTGGTCTTGTGATGGTCTCGACTACAACAAGTGCCTGTGACTTTAGTCTTTATCGTAATTCAGCAACAAGAATTACCGGTAGATGCCATTACTTTGGTGGCAGTGGCACACCTCTCATGGACAGATGGTATGCTCACATTACATACCTCCGCCACCAGAAGGGTGATTTACATGTACCAAAAGTACCGGTCCACGTGTGTCAGTTTAGGAATGCACATGTGGGTGCAGTGCCACTGGAGTTATGGCATCTCCTCACACTCGTCCAAACTCGAAACTCCCTAGGCACATTTAACCTGGGCTGGTTAAAATTTGTATATGATAGAGTGCTTTTAAAATTTGCATACAGTGATTAATATTCATGAGTGTCTGCTGTATCCAGTTCATGTGATGTCACTTCAGTTTAAACCACGCCCACTTCACATACACAGAACTACAAAGAACCTTGGAACTGGAAGTTAATGCACAACTTGAGTGATCATCCAATGGAAGATTACAATCAGCGGTGTGTGCACGTTAACGATGAAGTCACTCATATACCGGATCAGTTTCCAGGACATTTTTAGTGGTTTTAATTATTTCAATTATGCAAAGTACAACTACTAGTAGAACTGCGTATATTTTAAAAGAATGTTAATGTCATACGTCCCCCTACGAATTGCCACTTAGTGATAAAATAACAATGACTCAATCAGTCATGACTCTACGGTACTTTGGCTATGTTGTTTCTGTTATTTTGGAACTCTTGGACCTCTCAACAGGAAGTGGTGCAGGTACATTTCTTCCCTGCTGTTATGATTTTTAAACTACAGTAAAACAAAGTACAATAAACAAATGTTCGCTGTGTGTGTTATTCAAGTGGAAGGTCTAAACTGGCAAAAAGCTACTTGAATATTCGGCTGAGTATCGAACACTCTGTGTACACAAGAAAGAACCAATGGCTACATGTATGTGCTTTCTAACTAGGATTTTGATCAGGTCTTACCCGTCAGCCACAGGGCTGCTGATGCACATCCATCGAGGAACACCAGCAACCGGGCAAAGTTGGTGAAGCGTACCCAGGGCAGAGTATAGTAAGTCCTAGCCATGATGACGACGGCCGACGTGTAGAGAGCAGCGAGCAATGTGGTTCTTCTATGGCTTATTTACTCATGTATGGTACATACATGTATCTACATTGTAGCAAATAAGATTCAGCAACAAGATGTAAACAAAACACAAAAATTAGATGTATTCTATTGGGGGGAGGGGGAAAGTGACCATCAGCCACGGGTAGATCCAGAACTAAAGTTTTGGGGCCAAGTGTTAAAAGTTTTCAGGCCTTTCTTGAAGGGCAATTCTCAAGCTGGGCACAGTAGACAGTTTAAGGACCATTTTGGAGGTGAATTCGGAAGATTTTGATTCGGGATACAAGCTTGCATGTATTTTCAGTAAAATGAATTGGAGGAAGCACAATCTTATGGAAGGTACATGTATGTGGACCCTACTTTCACCCGACCATGTCCAAATGTAGAAAAACATGATTTGTAGGGTCCAAGTTACTCAGACTATTTCTCCCTCCATGGATTAACCAGGCAGTAGGCTGTTTTGAATGAGCTGTTCTGTGCAATTTTCAATCTTGTTGTGTAATTTTATTTCACTCCACCCTGTGTTGATGTGCCTTTGAACATGTCAGTGACATGTTGAACTTGTTGACTGAGATAATCAACTCAGGAGGATTTGCACAAGCATGACAAGAGCCAAGAGATTGCACTGAACCATGGAGGTAGAATCACACTCCATGACTGAACAGAGCTGTAATAAAGCAAATGGGTATGGCATAACAATAATGCGTGATCACTGATATTACTAGGCCTAATGATAAAGTGATATGATGCATGATGGACAGCTACATGTACATGTCAATGCATGTACAGGGTGTAGTCATGTCACTTGAGTGATGGATGACAACAAATAAGGCTGTTATGGCTCGCTTTTACAATCTGTCTCTTATCTGTCGCCACCACCTTTGTGGGGCTAGCCTAGGACCTACTGTCATGACACTAGTACAGTACTAGTGGTAGTAATAGGCCTAGTACATTTTACTAGGCCTAGTACTATTACTAAGCTAATCATGGCTGAGAGAAAGAACATGAAGAAGGAACCGCCGCTGGGATATCACCTCAGGCATGTCAGGTTAAAGCTTACTGCTGAATCTTATTGTAAATTGGAATAAATTACATCCGTACAACATACAAAAAGCTACCAAGTCCAAGATAAATGTAACGGCAAGCCGCTAGCCGGTGACTACACTTGGCAGAGAAGTTACATCTGGCATCAGCAACGCACGTGAATTAGAAGTTTAAGTGTCACCGGCACAACGTTATGAAATATTACGCCCCAACTATTCCCACGGCCCGAATTATACTTGGAGCGGGCCCAGTTGGGCAGAAACACTTTCTCGGTTGACTCAAAACTGTTTACATCCGGGCAACAAAAAAATCATATGAAAACCAGTGACAGCCCAGCTTTATAAGTTTAATAAGTTCTATATGTCTAAATTTACTAGATGTATTAAGTTCTCCATCGACCCTAGAAACGCTCAAGTACAATAATTTGGCTGTCCAACTATGCCGACATAAGTTGGATCTTTCCCAGGTATTATTTGGGCAGTTGACACAGGTTGGGACTTAACATCAAGTGCACAAACTCAATTAATGTTGACTCATCGACTGGTTTCCGTCCTTGTACAACCTGAGCATTAATTTATCCTTATCGACGATAACGTGCGCGCAGACCGGTAATTATATTTCGTCATTTTCGTAATTCTCACGCAGTATTATGTCCCTCGTAATACGGTTCGCTCCACCCTTCGAAGAGAATGGTATCGTCCTGTTCGTAAGTGACTTCGTCACAAAGGCGAACGCGTCCGGACCGGACGATCACAGAAGTTACACGTTAACACGTTAACTTCGAGTCCGGTTCCATATGTTTCCACATAAACGGCGATCAATTGCATGTAACCCCATGTGCAGTGCAAGTGTGTAGTGGGTGTGGTTTAAACTGAAGTGACGTCACACTTACGAACCGGATAGATTATAATTATGGAATATCGGCAAGAATATATGATATCAAATCAGTGCTCTGAAATATGTGATTGCCGAGCTTTAGGTAACTGAGTACCTTCTTCAGGGCAAGCAGATTCAGTTCTGAATAAATGCGGAAAAATCCGTTCATTCCCCCTGGATGCAGCGTTCCAAGTTCGAACATGACGCGCTGCTCCAGTTCCTTACCGCTGTACATCAGATGACGCTTTCGGCAGACACTTACGTCACCGAGGGTATGTGGCGGCGCGCAAAAGTGCTGCGCAACAGTGAGGCTAGGTGTTTGTTGGTGCACACTGCGCAAGTGTTCCGCGAAGCGGTCACCAAGACGCTCCTTGGTCTCTCCGATGTACAGTTTACCACAGCGACGACATGTTATGCAATAAAACACATTCCTGCTTGCCCTGAAGAAGGTATTCAGTTACCGAAAGCTCGGCAATCACATATCTTAAAGATTGTATGGCACTATACAATCTTTGGTCACAAAGGCGGACGCGCCACGATTTCCAGGCTCCCATTGGACGATCGCTGAAGTTGCGCGTTAACTTCCGGTTCCATGGTCCCATGTACATATGTAAACGCGATGTAACTCTGTGTGCATTGCATGTGCAGTGGGCGTGGTTTAAACTGGAGTGACGTCACAATTACGAACCGGACGGTTGCATGCATTCGACAAGAATATAATATCAAAATTAATCAGCACTGATTTGGTATTATATTCTTGTCGATATTCTGATCACGGTGCTACGCAGCCGGCCTTCCATATTTCTCAGAGTTACATGCATTGATCGCCGTTTACATGTAAGCATGGAACCGGAAGTTAACGCGCAACTTCAGCGATCGTCCAATGGAAGCCTGCAAATCGTGGTGCGTCTGCCATTGTGACGAAGTCACTTACGAATCGGATACAACCACACTGCAGGTTGACCCCACGTTTGTTGAGCTCACGAAAAGTGCAACGTACGCGTATTGCGCGGTGTTAAGAGCTAGTCGCAACTTTATAACTTTGGAGAGTATTAATTTCTGAGTGATTATTGTACGTGTAAACGAGAGTCGATTTAAAAAATCTAGCTCTGTGCGGAAGTAATTAACACTTGTGTGATGAATCATAGAAAGAAGTTCAAACTGTAGCTACACACCGATGTCGCCAACAAAAGCCCCAGGTCTACGACGTGCACGTGACATGTGCATGTAGAGGGAAAAAAGAAATGCACACAATTCCCCTAATACACGTAACAACGGACTACAGCAGGGCTCAGTTCTCTTTCCACAGAATTCTTTATTTCAAGTGGGCTACGTATGTGTTAAAAATACTAAAATTGTAAGTTGGCCTTCGTAGTTTATGTTAAAGTGGCCAGCCAAGTTTAAGATGAAGCTAAATTTAGCGGTATATGCTGCAATCGTAGGAATCTTATTTCATGAACAGGGTGTAACATATAGGTATTTGGGTGTGATCATTCAAGCACGGAGGAACTTGAAGACATTATTCAAAACACAATCTAAAATTCCACAACTACGACGACAAGCGGGGGCGGATCCAGGATTTTCCCAAGGGGGGGGGGGTGATCCCGGATTTTCCGGGGGGGTGAACGAAAGCAGCAATGGTTACTAAAATGCCGGTAGCGCGAAGCCCTTACGTGCGGCATAGGATCCAGGGCATTTTTGGATTTTAGGCTGCACTGCGGTGCAATTTCCTCTTTTTCTAACAAACTCCTCTTGTTTCTTCTCCATATCCCCCTTCTTCTTCTGTTTTAAATTAATTAATTAATTTATTCATTCATTTTTTGAGATGAAAAAGGGGTGTGCGCCCCCCATGCCCCCTGGATCCGCCCCTGACAATGGGTCTAAAAGCCAGTGTGCCAGGGTACCGAGAACTACATCACTACATGCACGACGTTCACGAAGCCGACTAATTACTTCAAGTACTGTACTCGCTGATGTAAACCCATGCATGTGCGAGCATGTGTGTGTATACATGTACAGAATGCATGTACATGTACACAAATCATGCACACACACAACCGCATAAATGAGGTGCCGATTTTGCATCTTTTGACTTTTGATCCTCATGCATCATGTATAACGAACTTAACTCTATGGGACAGTCTGAAAGTTGACCCCTGATGGCGCGCTTCTGGAACCCTTGGATAGGAAAATTAGCGTGCACAGATTTTTAAAACTTGTAATATTTTTCCTTCAGTTACTTCTTTGAAAAATCCAACTCAGAAATGGGACTTAGGAAAATATTTGCTCGTATGCCAATTAATAGAAACTAAAAAATCAGCTGACCAGTAAAAGAGAAATATCCTGGCAAAAATTGACCCATCGCTTCCGAAAATCTAAAATACATGAAGAACAGGGCAATGAGACAGTCGTGTACGCAGATGAACATTTACGGTTTGAAGTTTTGTAGTAGTCCGTCGGTAAAAGCCGAAATAAAAGGTCACGAAGCGAGCTTCCGGAACCCTCGCGCGCGGTCTGCCTATGGAGATTTTACACGGGGCCGTCCTATCACGTTGGATAAGTTTTGGAACTTGAAGAATAATTCCTAATTGAAACCACTCCACGAAACACTCATGTTGGAACTTTACCTTTGTCTTCCTCAAGTAATAGTTAGGAAAAGTCACCTGGAGATGGGTAAAAACGAATTTTTTTAACGACCTTTAACGTCTGGCGATATCGTACCTATAGGTCTCCATCCACGTTATTAATGCACGTTTGATTCCACTGCCTGTGCTTACGTAAAAAGAAGATTGTGCAACGTTGCAAAGATTTACCAACTTGCAGTCGATGGGTTCCATCGTTCATAACTGCATTGTAACAAATGAGTCCATATATAAGTAGGACTACAAGTTTGACTGGTAGAAATTCCGTATACATTATGCAAGATCACGTCGTTCACATGCAGTTGTGAATAACTTAACTACATATCACTGACGGGTGTGCGCTTGAATTATCAGTCAAGTCGGACGTACCTACTGACAGGTGTGACGTATGACACACTATCAAATGAGGGCGCCTTATAAGGGTTACGCGAGCTGCTGGGCCGGCCGCGAATGTTTCCCTACCGTACCACTGCACTCACGGTTCCCCACACACACAGGCATTACGTGTCTTCGAGCAAGGTCGTCCGATTTTATATGTACGTCTCACCCAGGTGGACTCCCGACCGTACTACGTTGCGGAGTGAGTCCAGGATGTAAAGGGTGCAAAATCTGGCGAAAATTTGTGTAATTAAAATTTGCAACACTTCTACCTTTTCCAAGGAGTCAATTTCACGTCTGTAAATCCTATGCGTCCTTATTACCACGTTTGGTGGGTTAAGAAATTCGACACATCACCACCAAAGACAAAAACGGGAAAATAAATTCGGACGTTACGTTAATTTTTGCCATTGTTGTGGACTGTTTTCAGCCGTTCTCTAATGCAGTTCGTACAGTGTGCGAGCCACGTACACGCACGTCGAAACTACATGTTCTGACTGGAACCAGCGAAACTGAAGTCTAAACGAATCCAATGCGGTTTCGAAAACGCTCACCGCACACAGCGGCACGGTGGTTGGTGACAGTTGGCCTCGTTACCTGCACGCAACTTGAGTCTACTACGGCCAGTACGGCTTAAAATTCAAGATTTGTACACTTGAACTCCTGGCCATTTCTGAGCATGTATTATGTATCAACAGGTGGACTTAAAATAGACAGACAAAAGGTGTCCACAAAATTCGATAGAAGTTAAGGGACCTGGCAGTTCCTTGTCGAGGGGAGATTATCCAGCAAGGCTTTGACACATTTCTATTGCTAGCAATTTACTAATATCTGTTGATTTGTTCCATTTTAAAAGTTATACCGAATACATTTTTTAGAGATAGAGAACTTTTCCAGAAAGTGCTGGCTAGATATTTTTTTTGTAATAAACTAGACTGATATGAGAGTCTAAAACGGTGATAACAATCATGATCTCTCGGGCCTGAATTTAAAAACAAAAAATCATCTACTTTAAACCGACTTAAATCCAACTTGTCACTGTCAATTGCATATTCAGTCTGCTTATTTTATGTGTAGTCTACGAATAAAAAAGGAAAGGCAGATCAACAGCACGATTTGTGCGTGATCGCTAGTACTTACCGCACGTGTGCGCGCCAGTGCTGCCTCTGCACTGATACGGTGTTCCCGACGGCGGGATCAGTATAGCATCGCTCTCCGGCGCCTGTTCATCATGATCATCATGAATGCAATGTAATCCTATTTTTATTCCTCAGTTACCCAGATAAGTTATTGTTTCACTTTAATAAAAATCGGATCTCTAAAATATTTTGAATTTATACATCTTTAACCAATAAAACTCTACGAACAAATTAAACATGTTTAACACTTCAAAGGGAGATCGTTGATGAACTTCTTGCCGTAGGCCGACTACTACAAGAACCCTGCATATGCAAAGCCTTCTACGCTAACGGAGGTTATTTTTATAAAATAGCAGCTTGTGTCGCAAATTTATGTTTATAAACCGACATTTAAAGCAGAACAAAATATGAACACTTTAGCGGTAACCAATAGTGGGTTAATTGGTCAGTCTGAAGCCACCGTGACCGATCCGACAAAAACGGAACTGCATTTTTTTTATATCGGCTCGACGAAACGCAGGTTAAAGCCGGGTACCAGTTACGGCCTCCGTGTAGCAGGCGAGCAACAGACCATTGGAAGTCGCGCACGCGTAGTGCGTGCACGCAGGTCGGCTTCCTGTTTACACGTACTGTACGTGCGTGCACTTTACAACTTACTAGACTCGAGAACGGATGAATTACGTCTACAAAAGTAACGTTGTCTCTCACTTATTTTCCTCGGTTTTGCAGTCTATGGTTCGTTTTGAAATTCTTAAAACCCCCAGACGGATAGATAATGCCTCAAAGAACTTGTAAACGTGAAAAACTAGTTTCTTCATCAAGGTGAACCAAGAACAAATTAGAACCAAATTTGTGGTCGTTTTGTACACAACGTTTACACCTTGGACGTCAGTCGTAATGAAATGAAGACAACGTCCAACCTGGGCTAATGCATGTCGATGGTTGTCTTTCGATGAATAAGTTCAGCTTAGTTAAAAAGTCGTTCCCTCACTGTTAGGTAAGTTGACGGCTCTGGAGCAGCGGCTGTCGTGCACATCGGGTATCGATTAGGCCTAAATCCAATTAAAAGGTCCCAGCAAAATTCATGTGCAGTGCACATCACGTGGACCTTACACGATATGGCCAAGGCCCCTAAGTCTTTGCTTTAAAAATTACACAGACACTCACCATCCACTGAATCATTGAATTACCAGAGTTGTAGAGTTGAGTCACTTAACTTGGACTTCTGTTGAGTTGGACTCAAGTTTCTATTTTTGTGACTCGTGACTTGATACTACCAGTTTTTGATTTGTGACTTGACTTGGACTTGCACATTTAATGACTTCATGGAATATCCAAATATTCAGTTGTACCGACCAGCAGATTGTTGAACAGTCAGTTGCAGTAACACGCACAATTGTACATTATGATCACGACGATAGCTTCTCACACCTAGGAGTATCTCCAGCCACGATTTAGCAACATTGAAGAGACAAACACTGCTTCTTGCCCTGTTGAAAATTTCGATTCCTTTTAAATTTTTGAATGACTAATTCACTTTCTGAATCATTGTAAGATTTCTGTCGCTTTTCATTTGAATCTATTTGAAACAAGCATCCATAGTGCAGTTTTTCTTTTTTTAAAACAAAAGAAACTTCTCCCTTAAGTTTCATGAATTTTGAAGTTGAATATTCAAGTTTGAATATTCAATAATGATTGAATATTTGGATACATGTATTCAGATATTCAGCACGGCCCTAGAGGCTATGCGTTGCTCTTGTTGCTGGTGCCTTGGAAGCTGTTCTTTGTTGATTAAAATTGATTGAGGCCCACATGTAGTTACAATGAATGTATATTTTGAACATGATCCTAGTGACACAAGGTCCTTACCCTCCAACTCTGCTTGAATGCACGACTATCTGAATGGGCCTACACGTACCTGTCCGTTGACATAATCCACCTCGTCTGTGGGGGGAACCCCAGATCTGCAGGGTTCGAAGTCAAAAGAAAATGCTTTGATTGTCCCCATTCAACTTTTCAGTGACTACCTGTGCGTATTTACGCATTGCACTTCACTACACTTACATTTCGAAGCCCCATCGCTTTGTGGCTGCCAACTTGGCAATGAGTTTTTTGCTTTAGTTTTTTTGTTTTTTCAGTGATCTGTATTCATTTTGTGGTGCATTGTTCTCAGACAAGCGGACTTCTAACCGGTAGCACTGTATACCATGTCATAATACATGTATGACATTGAAATTATATTGCTCCCTTGATTTAAAGTGAAAGTCTATCACCCCATCTCATCATATACATAGCCCACCGTGAGACACAGGTTACATCTGCTAGTTCCAATCCCACTTTCTACACCATCAGTTCTAAGTCTGGTAACAAACCAGGTCAAATCACAATGACTTCATATCCTGCATCAGCCACACAAGAGAGATGTCACTCTTTTAATGCAGGGAAGCGCAAGACAAGACTCTGCACCAGAAAAGCGGTCGTTATTGTTACATGTAGATTTGGAATGAACAAAGTCATATCTCCTGGACTGTGTTCACAATTTTGCTTTTCCTGTGACATACATGATCACAAAAATTACCTTGGCAACACCACTACGCTGTCATTTCCCCCCCAAAAAAAGAACCAAAACTTTCCCGTTCTTACTTAAGTTTCATTGTCTCCTTAAACATGGATGTTTTGAGTGTTTTTATGGTAACCTTGTTTGAATACTTCGTATTTTTATCCCTTTTAAAAATGGAAAACAAGAACACTCCCTTGTGACCGAATTCCATATTACAACAAAGAGCCTATTTCTTTCTACTAAGTGATATTACCATCTCAGACTTTTAGGTGATCAGCTCGTCAGGTCATTGAAGATTTCTGGAAAACTATTACAACAAAAGAACAGAAACACTCATTATACCATCAAAATAAAAATGTTTTAACCACTTGCTGCTAGTTGGGTGGTTTTAAAAATGCAGTTCACACATACGGGAGATTTTCAAGACTTTCAGTTTTCAAACTTCTCCATAAATTTATCACTTCATTTAACGGCTGTTTACACCTGCACAAATGACTGTTTGGTGGCTACTCTAAGCTGTCAGGCAACTTTCATTGACTCCTGAGTATTTCAGCCAGGCCTGCCACCCTGTAAAGAGAGCCCAGAATTGTGAGGTGTTGCGTAATTTCCTTTGTCCTCAGTGAATGTGAGTGGCGTCTTTTCAAACACGGCTGGATTAGCATGCAGCGGCGCTCATCAATGGGGCCCTGGAGCACTTTTGTCCGTGGTGCTAATCCGTGGGCAAGCTATGTTCAAAACAGTGTATACTGTTTAGAAACAGTGACGGATTACCTTCAAAAAATGCAAGCCAAAAAATGGTGGCAATTCCTATCAGCAGGTCTTTTGTTCGGAGTACGGTCTTTTGTTACACTGACCAGCTCTTTTGCCCCATTTCGGACACCCTGACTCTGCGTATAAACCCATGGTACTTGAAATGGGTTAGGGCTGCAAGTGGTTAAAATTTCAATTTGATGCACAAATTTGTGAAGAAAAGATTGATTGAAAAACCTCCTTAAAATTCAAATATGGCATGAAAAAAATTGGAGCTTTTATCATGTTTATTTGCAAAAGACTTTTTCAGACCAGTCTCATGTCAAGTGATGTCCGGATATGGAACTCTTTTCATCCTATAAACTAGGTAAAAGATCATCCATTTTAAAAAATTTTGTCACAAGACTACAAAACCTACACTTTCCTCTGAACCCCCTCCCCAGCTCCTCAAAAATATATAATATGCAATATCCTGGCCATACTTGTAGTTTTTTGCTTGCAATTAAATAACTATCGCTGTGACCAGGAAATAGAGAGCAAAAAATCCCTGATATTAGACATACTTTTGCCATCGCAAATAAATATTTAGATTTTGATTAACTGTTCCATTATCCATGCAAAGTTTGTAATTTTATTCTCCTGCGTCCAATAAATCAGTGTTCAAAGAATTGGTATGAGTTTGGCCAAGACTGGCCAACAAAATGTTCACTACTACTGGAAAGCTTAGTTCATTGGGAACAAAATGCACTATTTCATCACAGGGAGTGATCGTGAAATCTCATAAATTACGCTTTTGTGCAAATGTCGTAATTAAAATGATTCAAATAAAAGACAAAATCTTGTAGACAACCAGGCAATCTTAGAGAGGGATCCCATGCATGGAAAAAAACTGGAAACTATTCAGCACAAAAGCCTACCATTGCCACATTAAATAACAATTTAGCAGTGATGGGAGACGCCCTTGGGCATTTTAAACAGTTAAAAACACAGTTGGAGTTTGATTGTACTTGATTTTTGTGAGATTTTTGGGATGATGATTAGAAATTCAATTTATGGGATCAGACATTTTTCAGTATTAGCCTCAATCCGACTGAACCGCATTTCATCCAAGGTTGGATTTACATGTAGATGTGTTGAGGGTCAAAAGTATACATCCTCAAGCCATATTGTTGGGAAATAAATAAAAGAAAACACACATACAGCTATTAAAAGTTGCTTGTTGAGAATAGATGATAAGGCCAACTTGTCTCCATGTTCATCAAATTCATAAATGTTCAATGTAAATTTTAATATTCTGATTCAATTTAAAAAATTCAATGTTTTATATTACTTTTTTTAAATAAAAAACCACCCCTGGCCATAAATATGTGGTGTTTAAAAATGCATGAGGTAAACTGATAAACTAAAGCCAAATTGAAGACGACATGTTTTATTCTTATCAGAGCGGAGAGAGAAAATCATGAAGAGGACTTATTTTTATCAGCTAAGTGGTCAGCAGCACCGGGGGGGTGCCACTGGAGCGGTGGGCTTTGATGGGCGTAGCAGTCAAGACAGACAGGTTTGTAGTGTACATGGGCAGCGGCTTCACAGTTTTCTTTGAGGAGTTTTGGCTTGCTTCAGACAGTGTGTTCTGAAACTTTTGGGCATGACACTTTTCAAAATGCCCCCATCTGAACCAGAGCTGCTTTCCTGGGTTGAAATTTTAACCGAATGTCTCGCATGAAATTCTTCAATTTGCCACAAAAAATTATCATCAAAATCTTCTCCTTTTTGAATAATTTCCAAATAGCAGTGTCTCGTCAAGGAAAGAAATGCTGATGTGTGGTCTACACTTAGACGATACCAGTCTGTCGTCCAGCGACCACATTCCTGCTCTGGAACCCTAACAGCCTGGACACTTCTGCAGCGAACTTTCCTCAATCCAAACTCTCTAGTTTGGGTTGAGGATGTAGAATGCAGCCTTAAATCCTGCAAATCCTCCATCTGTCTTCTTGTAAAATGGAAACAGCCCTAGTTTTCCCCAAATCCTCCACTGTTTCCGATTGTGTTCCTTGGAGGTGTGATGACTGCCTCAATCCTTCAAAATCCTCTAGCGATTCCTGCCATTAGGTTGAGGCAGTGCTGATGATATCCTGCTGCAGACAGGATGATTTTCTGTATAATCTGAACCTAAGTTTATGCACAATGTAGCTGAGCATAAACAACACAAGGCCCAGCCCAAGATCCTGACGAAATACGTCCTTCAAGTCATTTCTTAAATTTTGCACGTTTGGTTTAATAGTTTGCTTGTAGAAGAGTTTTATGAGCTCTTTATTCTGTCCTTCAGTTCAAAATCTGGATAACGAACTTAAATTCAGATGAACATGTCAGGGCTTGACCACCGATACACATTCTGAATGATTCTTTGACAATTTAAAAGTCCAAATAGCTCCATATTTTTGTCAGGATTGGTGACGGAATGTAGCAACTTCTAACACCTGAGGTTTAGTGTTTATTGCATAGACTCTCCTTGGTACTTGTTAAGGGCTGATGGTAGTGTATTTCAAATTATTGACATTTCACAAACTAAAACAGTTACATGTATCCTCGGAGGTTTAGGTGGAAATCGGAAGGCACAGACAAGGACAAAAAAGTTGCTCTGATGAATCTTGTAAATGTACAATTTTTTTCTCTGTAGATTGAAGAGCAGCAACAACTCGTACAGAAACAGATGGCACCGTCCATGACAAAAGCTCCTCCAACCCAGCCACACCAGAAGCTCAATATCATAAGCAGCAAGCAGGCCGAGGCCCTCCGCAGTGGAGACGACTGGGGGAACTCAGGATGCCCCAACCCCATCATTGCAAAGAGTGCTCCCAAGAAGGTTAGCTGGCATGTGGCTTTTTTTCAGATTGCCTAATTTTCTCCTTTTTTTCCCGTCTCATATATTTCATTACAAATAGACTAAACCGTACAACAGATTGTGGCCAAAGGGTTTTCTACTTTTGTGTTACCTCCCTGTTCTGCTTAATCATTTTAATGATTAAGCCTATTTGAGACTCGTATATCAGTCTACCAGAGTCGTGACAAACACAATTTTTTCCCAAGATTTGATTTGAGTACATTAGTTTGACATACAAAACATCAAAAGATCAAGAGCTGAGATTGTTTGGTATATAAAAAAATATCCCATTCTCAAAGACAGTAGACATCGCTACTTTGACTGTGTATTTGGTACAGAAACATGAGGAACCGCTGTTAAAATGGGCTGGCGTGTGTATATTATTCCCAGCTTTGACTAGTTGTGTTGAACGTGGCCGTACCGTTTGATGACTTGGGTCAAGTGGGTAGGCTCCGTCATGCCCTCGACCATCCTTGCCCTTGATTATCACCTAGACTGCCGGAGACAAACTGTTTGATGTCACAGTTTCAGTTTGTGAAAGAACTAAGAGAAGTCTTTTATGCATCGATTTATCGGAAGCACATTCATTTTCTTGCGTTTTGGCCACAGGTTGAGCCTGAGCTGATCGAACAGTTTATGATGGGTGAAAAGAACCCTGTGATGGCGCTGAACGAGTTTTGCCAGAAACAGCGGCTGACGGTCAAGTTCCAGGAGGACACAGCCACCAGTTGTGGGACTATGTTCAATCCCAAGTTTGCTTCCGTTGCTGTAGTGGACGGCGTTCGCCATAAACAGGGCAAGTTTACCTAGAAATCTCCTTCATCACATGAAGTCACACATTGCACCACTTGATCTGCAAATTTGGATCACAGTTGGTTGTTTAAAGAATAGCCCATTTGTGGGGCAGGAACCAGTCAAGTGAAACTACATTCAATAGGTACCGTTGAACAGAACGAATAATTCGATGAAATGTGATCAATTATTCACCAATCAGATGATGGAGATTTATGCAGGGTATTGTTTAAAAAGGAATATACCATTTTGCTTGTTCAATGTCCCAGGAGTTGGAAGGACCAAAAAAGAGGCCAAGACAGAGGCAGCCAGGATCGCATTGTCAACACTGTTGGGCCTGACCCCGGAGGATGTACAGGAACCAGAGATGGGCACGGCCGTCTACGATAACTTCGGACGGAAAGTGGTTCTCTTAGAAGACAAGCCCTCGAGTCAGAGCATGGCCCCACACCCTGACACGGAGAAGGGTTACAGCCGTGGCAGTCATTACCAGGCCAATTTCAATGCTGCCCCAACCGTCACGTCCGAGGATGCCTGGGATGTGCCCCAGCCGGGCAACTATGCCCAGTACCAGGTCAAGAAGATGGCACAGCAGGCCAAGGGGAATGCTCAAGGTGGGAGAAGAGGACAGATGCAACTTGAGCAGGGTCCTATAACTTATGCAGTAACATTGTGCATATTCTCAGTACAAATCTGTCAAGCCTGAAAAATGGTTTGATTGTGCAGCCTTGTTACAATTTGTCAGTGGAGTGTGGGCAGATTTATGTGGCTTAAGGTTAATGAGACAGTCAGCATTACTATACTCTTCAAATTGTTTAGAGTTTTAACTTGTTGTCGTTACATGCATTCATAGGGAAACTTGCAGACCTGGATAGATTCGTTTGCCAATTCTGTGAAACACTGTGATTTATGATTTATTTTCAGACAGCCGTATCCTCTGTGAGTGATTCCTGTTCACCACTTCCCACGTTTATTGTGTTATTTGGGGCATCAGCCCTAGCTATATGGTGTTCCAGGTTTCACAGCTTCTGACTTGCACCCCCTAACAAAGTTGTTGACAATTGGAAAGAGCCACTTAACATACTGTAGGGCTGGATAGCTCAGTTGGTATAGCACCGGCATGATGTTCCGCAGGTCGCAGGTTCAGATCCCGCTCCAGTCAACTTTTTTGTTCATCTTTATAGTCATTTGTAAGCACCGAGTCAGTTTCCCTATATAGTTTGTTTCATGATTGAGGTTCAACTGTATTTAGAATTAGACATTTTCTGGGAAATAATTGGACAACATTGAGACCAGAAATGCATTAGAAAGTAGGGTTGACTTTTCATTGCCTTGAGTTTGGGTGAGGTGATAATCCCTGTGTTTTGATGTCTCCTCAGGTGAGAAAAAGAAACAGCAAATGGCTCAACAGACAGCACAGCAAGGGCCCGGGCTCAGCTTTGGCAGAGGGGTCTTGAATCCTTCCATCATTAACAGCTGCTTCCCAGATCAAGCTGCAGGCTACCAGCTGCGGACAGCCGGTGTCCCGCGCACCCATCAGCAGTCGTCTGGGAGTTCAGCAGGGCATCCGCAGGTGCCAGCCGGTACCCGTGGCCCAACCGAGCAGACACAAGCTCATTTGCAAACAAGGAGACCGGCTGCAACTGCCCCTGCTTGGCAGAATTGGCAGGCAAACACCACTTCAACTTCTGAACCCGGCTTTGCTGCATCTGGCGGCATTGGCCAACAGCAGCAGTTTGACTCTCAGACATCATCAGGGGATGATCCATTCCCAAGACTATCCAGTGCCAACAGGTCCTCAGCAAAGCCAAGCCAGAGCAAGACCTCAATCCCTAAAGTAGTGAGCCAGTTCAAGCCGTTTCTCACTGAATCCATCTACGACCCACATGCCGAATTGAGCGCCAACCCCTTCCCCCAGTATGGAGTCCGCCAGACACAGCCTGCTGTGAAAGTTCTTGGCAAGCCACAATCAAACATCTCTCCAACAGCCTCTGTACCACCATCATCAACTTCATCAGGGGTCTACCACTCTATGAGTAAACCACCCGTCTTCCACCCGTCGCCAGGTTCCTATGCCACATACCAGCCTCCACCCCAGCCTCCCAAAGCTGAGATCCCACCCCATCCCCAGGCCCCTTCCCCAGCCCATCAGTCCCTCCCCGGGCCTGCCGACTCTTCTGCAGGTGTAACCGGCGTTCTGACTGTGGCTGACCTGATTGCTAAGACGGCGAAGAGCCTTCCTCGCATAGGGTCGCCCTTCCCAGGATGCAACAAGATGGAGGCTCGCAAGAGCTTGGCTGCCATACTGTTGCAAAAAAGTAAGCTAGTCAATTCAACGTCTTGAATTTAAAGCAAGGCAGTACCCAAAAAATGTTTCAAAACACTTGTGAAAGAAGAAAGATGGTGCAAAGATTACAGATTACCGTATATTTCTCGATGGCTAGTTCCAAAGTACGATTAAAAGATGTCATCTGTTTTGTCCAAATACATGTAAAAAATATTCTTTATCTTTCAAAGTGAGGTGAAACCTGTTATATCATAGAAATAGTCAGGCACCCTCTCATTTCAGAGTGTTCATTGAATAAAATTGGTTCGGGTAACATGATCTAAAATGGATACCCCATCATGATTAAAGCCCACTCACAAAAGATTGCATCACCAAGCATTCAAAATGCCTTCTTTTCTGTTGCCGACATGTACATTAGCCTGCAATGTATAATCCATTCTTCACTCTTTATTCTTGTTTAAAACGGAAGACTTTGACTTGTGGTTGCCCTTTTTTTTATTGGGTGCTGCAAAATATTGGCCTCTCCATGACAACTGCTTGTTGTGCTTGGTTATGTACAATACTATGAATCTCTGTTCAACATCAAAATTTCCTCATTAAATATTGGTGATATTGAGGAAGATTCACCATTCTTTGACTAGGCAATAGGTCTCTTAATTCTTGGGCACCTCTTTACAACCAACAGCCCGAAGATACTGCTACTTTCTGGTGTGGTGTTTTTTCACCCTCTTAACCCCTTCATGGCGGGACGCTTAAAACACGCCGTAAAAATTGAGATCCTCAGCCCGCTTTTCAGCTATTATTCTCGGCCCACGCTCAAGCGAACACGGTGAAAGAAGGCAGACCCTGGCTCTTGTGTATATGGTAGTTGGTCTTTGTGTGTAGCCCAGAAATGAAAAGACCAAATTTGCATCATAATCACCAGCTTCACAATAGTTCCCACTTTGAAAAGAGGCAACGGGAATTTGGAAGCTTGAGTAGAGCCTGATGCCACCGAACAATTAGCCTTTTCACCGTGTAATTCAAAGTGTGCAGAGCACGCTGGGCCACAAACCGAGAATTTGTGGTTTGGCAGGTGGCCTTCGTGGCCGAGCGAGGCTTGAATTCTTGGAGTCGGCTTTCGGAAAGAAATTCCCGTTCGAGAAGGGGTTAATGAGTTCTGCAGAGGAAATGGTTCATCCACAAATATATTGTCTGACAATACTCACAATGTAACTAATTCACGGAATTGGTCCGAAATGTAATAATAATAATGTAGATTTACATAGCGCACTCGTCCAAAAAACTGATCAAGGGGCAATTCCATTATTATTACCCCTGCTCAATGGGCCCATGAAACATTCCAAACTCTTTCAGAGTAAATGTGGCTCATCCCAATAGAATGATTCACCGACTGCCACAATTTGCTAGCCTTGAAACAAGTGTTGCATTATGGAAATTGAAAGTTGTCGTGATTTTTACTCGCACTGTATCTGTCATGTTGATGATGCCTCATTGATTGCTCATTGACAGGTCCATCAAAATGAAGGTCTTAGAATTTTTTTAACTACGTATGAAATAATTCAGGAATGCATGTGTACCCTAGACGCATATTGTGGTATCAATTTGCGTGTGAATCTCTGACATTCAAATAGAGAGAATTCAAGACCCCGCAGCTCCTGCAATCAAGCCATCCCAACATTTCTCCCCAGGCCCTGAGGCAAGGCATGAAATCATCAGTCTAGGCACAGGCACCGGTGCAATCACAGGGCGCAATGTCACGACTGATGGGCGGTCAATTCTTGACCTGAACGGCCTGACCATTGCTCGGCGGGGTTTTCAAAGGTATGGACGCGGCACTGGATCCTTGTAGTGGCCATGCGACGTTGAGGGTGCTGTTCAGGTAGCGAAGTCAGTTATGAAATTGCAAGCCTTTGCTCATTTTCTCTGTGAAATATTGTCCTAGATGGAAATGTCACGGCCCTCTACTCCAACACCTTTGCTTTGTATGTATGCAGTTGCATTGAGTGTTTTCCATTTAGAAGAGAGCGTATCGATTTAATGTTGATTTGTTTACTGATTGTTTTTTTTCTTTGAAATGAAACCCCTTTCAATGACGCCATTCTAAGCATTTCTTATTTTGCCGGTCCGTCTTGCTATTTGACCCTAACTCAGCTGAGCCAACAAGATGTGGTACGGTAGGTGTTAGGCCTGTATTTGTATTGGTAATTTGGATACCATGGTACCTGACACAGGTTTTAGAGGTGAATTCATCTTGTTGGATGTTGCTGAATTTGGCAATCGAAGCAGTAACAAGAAACTACCAATTACCTCACTACTTACGTTCAGGATCATCTTCCAAGGTTAGGAGAATGGAAATGTTGATTGCATGACAGAGCTAGTAGTTAACAGGTTACTTTATGAAACAGTCTTGAAGATGGAAATCTGTAACCTTCAGAACTTTTCAATATCTCGCCATGGTTGATTGCATTGCAGATATCTCTATCGAGAGCTTAAGAACTTCTTTGAAGGGAGTCGACTGGCCAGTGTGTTCACCACTCAGCAAGGCAGCCCTCGTTTACTGCTGAAGGAAGGCGTTACTTTCCACCTCTACCTTAACTCCGCACCGTGCGGCGACGGAGCACGATTCGTCCGGGATTGTCCCCCAGTGATCACCGAGAATGACCTGTACCTCATGCAGTGCGGCTCACATTACCCAACACAGCAGCCCGACACAGCCCAGGGCAAACTCACTGCTGTCGGTCAAGATGGTATGTCTGCCCAAACCTTGACATCATGTGACTCGGTTCACTGTAGACACACACAGTTGAATGCATGTCTATAGTTCTTATAATTCTGTGGCTTTCCATGTCGCTGTCAAAATTTTGCCTACTAGTAAACTGTCTGGTAAACTATCTCTGGCCAAAAGCAGAAAAATAGTCTAGAGAGTGTTGGAAACTGCCCACATCTACTAAAACACCAAATACACGTACATGTTGTAATTACCACTGCTTAAATGAAACAAAAGTACGACCCTTTTTGAAAATAGTGGGGCAAGGGTATGTGTACATTTTGAGGTAAAGTCTGACACCAACTGAGGATGAAATTTTTCTGCAAACTTTGGCTGCCCACACAAATAATAGACAATGTGAGTGGGGTTCATTCGTCTGGGTCTGAAATGGGCTTACGGCCATGTCTGTTGTCGGCACTTGTCCCCATGTTTGCAACCAGTGGAAGCCTAGACCTAGCCCCAGTCTCAAGATTTGGAAGCAGCCTCGGTATCTCTGTTTAATGTGTCAATGTTTTCTAATCCTCAGTCATATTTCAAGTGTGACATAGATACTTTCTTTTTTGTTACAAGTGTTTGCACCCACCTGGGTACGCATTTGCATTTTTCAGGTGTGCCAGTCGCAGTGGAGCAGTTGGAGTTGGTTGAATCCATGGATGCATTGAAGAAAAAGGTAGAAACAATGAATTCAATCTGCCTGTTATTCTACTGACTTCCTTGACAATTTGGGTTGTAACCCCCCCCCCCCCGGATGCTAAAGTGTAAATAACAAGTGCATTTTGGCAGCCTCGACTGAAAAGAAGTTCAGTTGCAGAATTCTTTGGCAGTTTTAACTGGGCAAGAATAGTGTGACTTCAGTACTCAACTCTAGAAAACAATTCACTAACGAGAACAAAATTAAGTTGTTCTTGGTAACAACCACCTTCACATTTCCCTGTGCGGTACTTAAATCCTGCCTGGGCATCTTTTGTGTCGTGACTTTCAGGGAGTATCAAGCCCCAACACTCTACCATCCTTGGTCCAACAAAATCCATTTAATCTCGCTGGAAGATTTTGGAAGATCTGAGTGGAGTGGAATTAGTTGTTTTTTTCCTCACAGATGCAGTCTATGTGAAAATGATGTGCCTTTGTGGAAGTGAAGTGATCAAAATACAGGAGAATGCAGTGCGTTGTACCCTTTTTTGTCATAGAACCCGTTCTGTGTGATGTCGACCAGCGATAAGCTCCTACTGTGGAACGTTCTTGGCCTACAAGGGGCACTTCTCAGCCAGTTCATGGAGCCAGTCTATTTGGAGACAATCACGTTAGGTAATACTTTGAGAACTATTCCCCTATAATTACCTCTCCCAAACCAGGAGTAAAAACATTGAAACTGTGAGAGCAGAGATCATCTTAGGAATTTTTATTGGAATGTTGAGAGTAATTGTGGTGATGATGAGTTTTGGTCGGCAATCGTGATAATTAGAGTGGCTCTTCGTAAAGCAGAAAATCTTGCTCAGCTGATTTTAATGCCAAGCAGTAATGGGTGGAAAATCAGTCTCACTGAATATTCCTTGCATGGTCATTGGCTTAAGATCTACTTTTACTAAGCTTAATGTTTTTGTGCTTAGAACATCTCTGGGTGGAATCCACCCAACCAGCTGACTCACCTTAGTGCATATTCTGATCACAGGGAGCAATTACGATCACGGTCACCTCGCGCGAGCCGTGTGCTGCCGGGTGGACGATGACTTGACGGAATTGCTACCCATCGGCTACAGCGTCCACCATCCCTTGATCGGCCGCGTCTCCAAAACACCGCAGATTGAGGACGACGTGAAACTGGGAACGAGCCTGAATTGGTCGTTTGCTGACAGCCTGTACGAAGTGGCTGACATCACTCGGGGAAAATGCACAGAGAGGTGAGATGATACCGTGTTTCTACACATTACACCCTTCAAAGGCCGCCGGAACCACCACCACAGAATGTTCATCAAAAACGACGGCGAAACTGTAAGAATAAAGACACACTGGACACTGGTTTAGCCTGGCATGGCGGTCAGTGTGATGGCCATTGTTCCGCAATCTTCAAAGGTCTTGGATCAGAATGATCTTCGAACAAAGGCCTTCACACCAATCTTCAGTTTTCCCCGTCGCCAGGGTGCGGCACATACATTCAGTGGCAGGTTTTTGATTCAATTACTGAATAATTTTAGTTCAATATCATTTAACAAATTTAATAAAATGATTGATTTACAAATAATTATCAATTGCTGTCAGATTCATGAAGTAGTCCAATGTCCCCGCAAAATGTCTTTGGTTTTAAGGTCACATTACAGTAATGTTGATTGTGCATCTAACTTGATATGTTTTTTCCCAGTAAAAACCACTGTAACAATGCCACCACTACAACAGAAACAGAAAGCTTGCTGAAGTTAATTGACAAGTTTGAAAGTTACCAAATTGTGTGAGGAAACACAGAACATTGTCTCATCCTTGACACTTTATTTTTTTTCAGCTCCCCATTTAAGAGTGGGGCATCAGGGGCCAGTCGATTATGCAAAGCAGCCTTCTTCAGCAGGTTCAAAAACGCATGCGGCATGGCGCAGCGCTATGACTTACAGCAAGGGGCCAACTATCAGGAGGCCAAGGTGAGATCAACAATCAACAACCATTCACCTTCACAAATTTTGTAATCTGTGTTTTCGATTATTTCTTAGTTGCACATTGTATCTTGTGATAATGTGTGTTGACCCCTTCGAACCGGGAGATGTCAACAGCCGTGGCTTTGTGTGAGGATTAGTGCATGCCACACGTATATGTACATTCTATTCAGCATGCAGCTGCGGTTTCAATGTGGGCCTGCTGCTGGACAGGGCTTTGCATACTGGGCATGCCACAGCCCAGCAGTCACTGTCAAAAGAATCCCGGCGTTAAGGGGTTAATAAAAAATCTGTCTTTGTTTATTTTTGTTAATGTAATTGCAAAACACTTTGGGGTATCCTATTTTTGCTAAGCAAATATTTTCGAGGCTTAGTGGATTTTGAGTACTTGCCAGCCCTGTGAAGTCTGCCCTTGGCCTATAACACCAGCCCTGTTGCCAGCTTCTGCCATTTTGGAGGAGGGGGCTCACAGTGCCAGGGAGGGGGGGAACTTAACAAACATAACTTAGCAACTGGCCTGTATAATACTACAACATGACTGTACGGGAACTGGCTGCATCCGTAGCCACAGTCTTGTGCGTAATTTCAAGCTGCAGCCGAATAATTTGGACACGGCTTTTGATTGTTGGCAGGCGATGAGTAAAGACTACCAGCAGGCCAAGAAAACCCTGATACAGCACCTGAAACTCAAAGGCTATGGCTCATGGCTTCACCTCCCAGCTGACATTGGCAAATTCTCCAAGTGAAAGGCTCATTACTGACTGCAACCTCCATCCCATGCTGAACTATTTTCTTAACCTTTAATATATCTTGCGTTTTTATATGGAAAGACAGTATTCTTATAAGCCGATGCCAAAATGATAACAAACAGCCAAGTTATTTTTGGTTTTTAAAGTAGTTGTGATCCGAGTCAAATATGCACGAGATAGACATAGATGTGATTATTGAGTGAACTTACAGGCGAAAAAGTTTTTGGCATGGCAACAAGTGTTGCTATTTCGAACAACAGTTACCCATGGATGTGCAGCTATAATAATAATAATGACGATTTATAGAGCACACAGATCCACCAAGGTGCTCAGGGCGCTAGTTCAAAGAAAATAATTAAATGCCTCATTGAAGAGATGAGTCTTCAGATCCTTCTGAAACTGCAGGAGAGAGGGGGAAGATCGTAACCATGCCGGCAAATTCTTCCAAAGACGAGGTGCAGCACATGAAAAAAAGCGACCCCCCCATGAATGAAATGATCTATCACAAGCTGAATTCAGTCATCTGGGTACGTTCATCATTTGCACGAGGTTGAAGTCATACCAAGGGACAATCTCATGTCGGCATGTGTCCACCCAGTAAGGCTCACTTCAAAGAAATTGGACAAGAAAATCTGAAATTTGATGCAGCAATATGGGTGATTCACAATAGTGCGCCACCAAGAGTTTGCAACACGTTGGCCATTATAAAATGCGCGAAATTTGTCGACCCTTCCTAAACGCGCATTGGGTCGACATATTTTGCGCACTGTGATTGGCCAATGCATTGCAAACTCTTGGTGGCGCACCATTGTGAAACGGCCGTATTCCTTTGGGAGCATTTGTTAACTACAGTGTCTACTCTTTAGATCATAGTCATATTTGTGTCTACCCTGGCTGACAAACCAATGGCTGGCTGCTATAACTCGTTGAGGGTTAAAAAAAAAACTCACTCATCTATCACACCACCAAATAATAAACACAGTTTCTGGATGCTCTATAGAAATATGACCCTCTTTAAAAATGAGTGGGGTTTTTAAGGTGAAATCTGACCAGAGGATGAGGTCATATTCCTGTAAACTTTAGCTGCTCCAACAAATAGTAGGGAGTGTTAGAGGGGTCTGCAACTAGACTGAAAAGCATTAAATGCATATTGGTTAACAAGGTTTGGAGTCGGGGACTTGGGTTCCTGACAGCACCGTCTGGCGGGGGGGGGGGGCAGTGCCCCCCTTTTTCGACCAGACCTGGGCCAATTTTTACAGGTCCTATAATTGGGTGGGGCTCAATGGATAGAGCCCTTTTTGGCTGATGATGGCCCAACAACTGGTCCCCCCATTTCGAAAATTGTTCCGCCGCCAGTGCGGGGTTATGGATTGCAGGGTACTGACTATTCTTTCTGTGTTGTCAAGGCCATCATGAGTCTGTAAGTATCGAAAGATAAACAGTAGTGACAGCTTATGAACAGTGTTTTAGATGAGACCATCGTCAGACCAGACATAATAAGCCCAGTCGCACGGAACAAGGTGAGCAGTGACTGAGGAGACACTGAATATTTGTTTTGTCATGACACGAATTACATATGGTATGTTTTGTCACTATGCTTTACTCTTCAAAAGTGAGCGATTTTTTATCTCCAAGAAATCAGGGTAAAGGATCACCTTAATCTTGTCACTTTTAATTTTTTTGTACAGTATTAAGATTTAGTTCTCATATATTTTTAAAGAATTGATCAACTGTTTTCCTGTATTTAATGTTCACTTTTATCTGTTGATGCTGAAATAAAGCTACCGATGAGATGCAAATGTTTATGGCCTAAGTGTCAGTTTGTAGTTGTGGCAAATTTTGTTTTCTAATGCATCGTGGCATATTTGTTATGTTTGGTTTAAGACAGTGTTTGCTGATTGGGTTGGGGGTGGGACTACATGAAGATGTAAATTGGAGCACACAATTTAATCTTGTTCTTGTAGATAAATGTATGGCTATACAGCCGTGGAGGAAGATTGAGTCAAATTTGTAGTTTTCAAAGTTTATCTGGCTCCCCAACTTAGCTGTTGTGTTTGTGAGGGTTATGGACAGGTTGTCATATTATGTAGAAATTGAACAAAATGTCTATAGTGCACATTATTTTTGGTGTGCATTCTGAATCATGTTAAGTTCATCCATTGACATGATTGAGGAAACTTCACACACTGCAGACCGTAAATGATTCCTCCATAGTTCAATCTCATTCACTGTTTGGATCATGGGTCGACTTGAGCGTGTCCAACGCTAATTTACTTGTAAGATTTAACTTATTTTAGCCCCAAATAAAGAACGAAATTATGTGTCTTGAAACGTCGTTATTCCTACCAGTTCTTCACAACCTTATTTGCAACCATGCATCCGATTTTGTCCTTGTAGACGCTGCCGCACCGTGCGAGGGCGCCCTCACCCTACCAACCAACTTCTGCTGCGTGATGCATTGTAACAATATTGTAGCCGCATTGTGTAGCATTTGCTTCTCGGAACTAATTTGCCGCCCTGATCGGCCAGCTTCACACAAAGTGGCACATTGATTACACTGAAAATGGTATGTAGGCAGCCACAAACGTTTATGGTGTTCAGTATTGATATTTTTAGAGTGTATTTTGTTGTTTCCAAAATCATGTTTCTGTCACTAGTGTCAGTTGACTGTATTGGGTAGGGCTTGGAAGTTGGATGGATCTAGCCCCACTAGTGTGGCACGGATCACTCCAGATTTATCCTTAGCCATACATCCGTCTACGCAATTTGGTGTCGGCGTATCGAACATTCTGGCGCACCCACTTATCATCGTGGGCGCAATTTCTTTTGCACACGAACATGATTCTTGACTTTTCCGCTTTCTAAAAACCATTTATTGAATGATTTCACTTATGTTATTCAGGTATTTTCCAGTCTTTTTGCCTTTATCCATTCAATCTAACAGGCTCGCTCTCTCAGTCGCCATCTTTAAAATAAGATCGTTGAGCATTACGTCACTTGACCCCTCATCATCTCCATGGCTGTTCCATGTCAAGATAACTAAACTGCTGCCAAAGTTTTGGAAGAACCCATTGGTACATGTAGTATCTTATCGCTCAGTCAGTATATTAAATATGTCTTGACATGGAACAGCCGTCGAGACGACGAGGGGGTCAAGTGACGTATGCTCAATGACCTTATTTCAAAGATGGTGACTGAGAGAGCGAGCCCGTTAGATTGAATGGATAAAGGCAAAAAGACTGGAAAATACCTGAATAACGTGAGTGAAATCATTCAATAAATGGTTTTTAGAAAGCGGAAAAGTCAAGAATCATGTTCGTGTGCAAAAGAAATTGCGCCCACTATGATAAGTGGGTGCACCGGAATGTTCGATACGCCGACTCGAAATTGCGTAGACGGATGTGTGGCTAAGGATAAATCGGGAGTGATCCGTGCCCTACTAGTGGGGCTAGGATGGATCTACTTTGAGAACTCTAAGTCACACTAGGGCCTATTCCGGGTTTCGAGTCAACTCGGACCCATGCCAACTTGGACCCACAACCAACTCGGACCCATGCCAACTCGGACCCAATACTAACCCGAACCCAGGACCAACTCGGATCCATAACCAACTTGGACCCAATTCTAACTCGGACGTTCGACCAATTCGGACCCACCCTGAGTCAACTCGGACCCAACCCCAAGAGCGTGATTAACTTGTTGAAAATTTTGATTTTGTCCACTTTAACATTTTAGCATTTGGTAAATGACACTTTTGCACTGCATGCTGCCGAGATGTAACGTCCTCTCTACACGTAATGCTTCCCAGAATTTCTCAGTTTTCGAGTTTGAACAGGCATGGTGGTTGAAAAATCGTACAGGACTATATTTGATATTAGTGATGTCTTGGAACAAGTGAGAAGTAACCGGCAAGCGTCGTATTTTTATGGAGGCACATTTCTTTTGATGTCTTATTTGCCGCTTGTAGTCTGGAATCTTAATCGGTTATCAGCTTCCGAGGTATCGGCATGATTGACCACAAAGACTGATTTTGTCACCTTCCATCCTTGAAACCCTATGATCGGGGAGTGGGAGCTTTGGACAACCAATGGGAGCAGCTTTTGGAGTGTGGTTGACAGTACCAAATCATTGACGCCTTTTCTCCGAAGTTTTTTTGGCACTGCAGATCACCAGAAGAAATCGAATGAACTTTCACCAAACAGCCCCCAAAGTCTTTGTTACCACAGACAGATAGGCCTTTTGATGTACATAAGAGATGCTGCATGCGTACAACACATACTGCCGATGTACCTCAATATCACGAACATTAACCTTTTATAGTGTCTCATGGTGTTATCCCCCACCTCACTTTTCAAATTTTTTTGGCCTGGCAAGTCTTACACCTCCACCTTGCCCCATCCCCCCTCCCCGAATACCGGCGAAATTAAGGCAGGTGGAGGAATTCATCCATACAGGCCCAAACTGACTGTCCAAATAACGCAAATAGGTTGGTAATTTCGAACAACACGAATCAAATCATTTTAAAATAAAAATGTGGCATATTTCCTATTGTCTTAAACTTGGAGACAGTTTTGAAGCGTTGTATGTCTGCTCGCGAGCTCATTATTATTTTGTGATCCCACTTTTTTTCTTTACAATAAGACGTGCCATAATCACCAAGGATCATAGAATTATTTATATAAATCCAGAATTTGGGATTGATAGTTTCCAGTTCAGAGTATTTCTTTCACAAAAAGCCCCACATTGCGGACCTATTTTGGATAGAAACAGTCAACTGCATTCAGAGCTGGGCACATAGTTTTACTACTATTAGGGGGTATCTTCGGGATAAGGCGAATAAAAAAAAATTCATAAAATTGAAATGAAAAGTGATCGATCTGGCCATATCTTGACTTTCCAGCGAAAAAAAAATTATCTTGAATTTCCAGTGAAAAAATGAAGGCCAACCTCTTCGCTAGGTTCATGAGTCAGCGCTATTTCGGTCAACGGGCGCGTATTTGGTGTAGTACAACCACAAGACTCTGTGGGTCTGACTTGACTCGAGGTGGGTCCGAGTTGGTGTGGCTCCGAGTTGGTTGTGGGTCGGAGATGGTAGTTAGTATTGGGTCCGAGTTGGAATGGGTCTGAGTTGGTTTGGGTCCGAGTTGACCTGATCCCCTATTCCGTGTGACTTTGAGCGCAATTGGTTTACGTGGTGTCGTAACGCTATGGGGTTTTGAAAAGTGCTTTGCCAGGGTCAGGTACATGTAGTTGTACCTGAGAAAACCTCCGTTTGCGCTCTCTGGAGCAAATCTCCCCCGAAGTTAAAACCCTCCTATGGAAAGTAAGACACATTCTTGACACTTTGTCCTTTCAGTATCAGTCAAAACCAGTCAAAATTCCCCTACGAGGCCCTACATGTATGTGTCTATATACTGGGGGAAATTAAGTGGAGGGAATTTTCGACTGTTTTTGACAGTTACAGCAAAAGGAGGGTTAATGAACTTCTACCTACATGTATATCAAACATTCAGGTTCTCGTGTATTTTGTAGAATTTTGTTGGCCTATATTATTGTAAAAAAAATTGTTTTTTTTCTACCATCCTTACTTCTCATCCCTCGACGATCCGCACAGATCTGCATTCTCTTTTGGCTGTACTTTGCAGATATCACTCCCTGAAGTACATGTACATGTAGCTCGACAACGCAGCATGTATCATGCCTCTTGACATTACCACCCCCTGCTTCCAAAATGGTCCAGCCGATATGTGATTAGTATAATCTCATAAACTATGTAGTCATGGTAGTGACCATAATGAAATGTCAGTTTTCAAAATTTTGTCAATCAGCCCTTTTAAAACTAAAAGAAATTATTGATACCATGATTTATGTCATATACAGGATGTATTTCTTATGATAAGACGGAAGAATTGGACCATCTTCACTGATGCCAAGGAGACGAGCACCGTGCATGAACTGAAACGTATCATCGAGGGCATCATCAAGAGGCCGCCAGAGGACCAGAAGCTCTTCAAAGACAAGGAGGAGCTGGACAACACCAGGACGTTGGGGGACTGTGGACTGACGAGCAACACAGCCAAGGCACAAGCACCAGCAACGCTAGGATTAGCCATTAAATTAGAGGGTGGGTACCCAGGGAAATCAACAGGGAGGGGAGGCCCTCGTCCGCTCCTACATGTACCTTCTCTTCCTTGCCCACTCCCGCCTCCTTCTCTTACTTGCCCACTTCCGCCCCCTCCTCCAAAGTAAAAAATGGAGAAATACCAAAAGCAGAAAAAAGTGGGTAATGAAACATGGAAGACGACTCCTTTCCAGTTTCCATTTTGCTGTAGTCTGGTTCCCACATCAGCTAATCCTGACTTTTGGTACACGTTGCTGCCTTGGTCACTTGTCAAAATTCCTCCTATTTCCCCAGATTTCCTAAACTGGCCAAAACTTTCCTAACTCAACTATCATCAGTATCTGTGTATTTTGTGTAAATTTTGCACGTGTATAAATTACTTCTCTATGCAAATTTTTCCATGTGCATCACAATTTGAAAAAAAAATTGTACTGTATTTTTCTTAGTTTTTGGGCCTAATTGATCTCCAGTGTTGTACACCTTTGCTCATACTGACATTAAAAAAGCAAGAAACGTGCTCACAGTGCTTAAGAATAGACATTACATTGTACTCTGTTTTCAGAGATGATTGCTAAATGTACCTACTGGCCTTCTGACACATTCTGTGCCCCCTTCTCCCACCATAAAGAGCTCTCCCTTCTCCGTCTGTCACAATGTACATGTACATTGGTGGGTAATGGATACTACATACATGTACATTCTGTGGTGAAGAAAATCATGTAAGACCAAATTCAGGCCAATCTTCCTCATTCTTTAGTTTGCAAAGTTCTCATGAAACGTCCACGTGGGAAAGGCAAGGATCGTTGTAGGGCACCAGCAAAGTTGAAGTTCTTGATTCAGTTTTGAAAGGAAAGATCTCTTCGACATGTTGCACCTGAGAGTGAGGCTAACATGCGTTTGTCCTGATTCAGATTATAAGATGTAAAGATGGGAGATTGTCCATTTTATTACACTGGTCAGTGTTGGAGACCTCAGAATGTTGTCTGTAATGAAAAATGAAAAGGCCGAATTTGCATCATAATCACCAGCTTCACAATAGTCCCCACTTTGAAAAGAGGCAACGGGAATGTGGAAGCGTGAGTAGAGCTGCATGCCACCGAACAATGAGCCTTTTCACTGTGTAATACAAAGCATGCAGAGCACGCAGGGTCACAAACCAAGAATTTGCGGTTTGGCAGGTGGCCTTCGTGGCCAAGTGAGGCTGGAATTCTTGGAGTCGGCTTTCGGAAAAAAGTTCCCATCATCAAGGGGTTAAAAGCCAGTGCAAAACCTTAACATTTTTGCCAAAGACACACATGTACACTGCTCGTTTCTTGGATGTACTTTTGCCCTAAAATGCCCAGGAATGTCTTGTGGTTCATAAGTTTATTTCTTTATTTTGTTTGTCCTTTACATGAGCATGCAAAATGTCTACTAGGAAGTGAATGGTCCCCAGCACATGTACACTTTCATAAACTTGAAAAAAAAAAGCCATTTCGGCCAATGATCTTTTCTTTTGTATGCTTTCGGGAGGGATCAGAGGAAAGATTATGTTCTTTACGCTCGTGAAAGAAATGACAACAATAGATGACTACTTACATGTACATGAACACGAATGTCCAATGCGTCTGATCTAGAGGGGGATATTCATTTATGTTATCATCAAACTGTTTTTCTTCTGTGTTTTTCTTCCAGGCGACACGGATGAGTTTGAGACACTAGACTTGGTCCCCTACTCCAATCCCCCTGAGCTCCCCGACGTCATGAAGTCGTCGGAGCCTTCCACAACAAACACAGTAGAGCCACCTGTATCATAGAGCAGGCAGTGACGTTTGGGTACCAGTGACACTATACCATAGCAGACTAACACCAGCAAAATACATAAAAATTCGCACAAGGTATGTTCTTGAAAGAGCAACCCACCAAGATAGAGGCGTGGATTCTCTGTGAAAGATATGCTACTTTTTCTGTTTTTGGAAATCTTATTTTTTGTGTTTCATTGTTAAGAACAGTGTAAAAAAAAGCAAACGTCTGCCCACTTTACCACTTGTTCCCTGTTTTATTTACCCCCAAGGCGTTCCTCCCCATTTAAATTTCCTCCACAAGAGAGTACCGAAGTGTGACGTCACTGTGAACTAGAAAGTGCAGTGCAAACCAATGGAGTACGCGCGTGTGTTGGTTGATGCGCTGGTTCTCGCGCTAATGCCTTTTACACACTAATTGTGCACGTGACGTATTCAGTTCGGTACTCAATTCAAGGGAAGTTTGAAAAGAGGGCTTCAGTTATATTCCATATTCCATAGCAACAAGATCCACATCATTTCATGCTGAAGTCCTGGGCCTTTACAGATATGTATCGTAAATTACATGAATTTTTTCAACATGGTTTGCCAAGAGCATCTATTAATTCGGTGAACATTTTTAGGTTTTGTAAAGTGAAAAATAGTATAAACATCACTCACAAACTGGTTTCCGTTTTCAAATCCATAATCTGAACTTTTACTTCATCCAGTATTAAATATTCAAAACTCTAAAAATGTTAATTAATACATTGGTTACAGTTCTTGGATATGGAATGGATCATTTTCATGGAGGACTTCTCCTTTTTATCTCATAACAAAACAACGGCATCTGCTCTACTTCAACATATACATGTAATTTAATCAACCTTAAATATAGCTGTTCTTGATACTGTGTGAAAGAGTGTTAACGTAAATGATATACCCAAAATGTCTCCATTGCTCACTGTCGCCAATTTAAAATGTAAACTTTGCACTATTTTGTCAGTCTTGCATATTGAATGCAGTTGCTTGTATCTATGTGGTTGTATACGGTGAACGATACAATTTTTTTGTATAAAGATTGCCTGTTTTCGTGCTTTTTAAAATGATGCTATGGTGTCTCCGTGGATTTAGTCTTGCATTTCTGAGTAAAGTGCTAATTGGTTATACAATGTAGATAGTGATATCCTGTTCATTGCTGCTTGAACAATGAAATCGCAGAGACATCGCAGTTTACCATGCCACAAAGTGCTTCCTCATTAAATGATCTTGAACTCATTGAAGCAGTTTCCTAGTCGAGTTGTCAGTTTTAACAAGGACCCATGACAAGCCATCAAATCAAACCACTTGATATTCAAATTTAAGTGTGACGGTGCATTCCTTCATCAGCGTTTATCTCTTAATTGTGACTGGGTTGGACAAATGACTTGTGATGGAATAAGCAAGTTCGGTATTTCAACAAAGCCTGCTCATGATGGGAAGCTCAAAGGCACCACTTGGGAACTGATATTTCACTTCTCTTTGGGCTTTGTTTGATGGAGATGTTTGACTTAGTATTTCTCTTTACTCCGTGGTTAGTTCATAATGCTTGTAAATTGCTAGATATTGTAAATAACATCATTGAATTAGGTCTTGCCTTTGTTTTTGAGTTAAGACATTCTGTACCTCTGAATTGTAGTGCTGGCCTCGTTATAATATGGATGTATTATGGGAGCAAACCTTATAATACATGTACAACCCACACTGATAGAGAATAATTTGGACTAAAATTTATTTCAAAGTGTTGATGTCTTTTCCCTCCTTTTACTTTTTTTTTTCAATTTTTACTGGGGGTGGGGTAGGGGTGGTGTTGGAGTAGAGCACACCCCACCAGAATTATAGGGGGGTGAAAACATTCAGGGGTGTGACTTGAAATTTACAAAGCCCACAAATTCATTAATAATCTGGATATTCTTGTCAAGCACTGCTCTGATTCGTCAAAGAATGCCCATTGCAGTAAAGTGAGTTGGTGTTAACCCTTCACAACAGTAGGGAGTGTGTTTTGAACATGATCTAGTTTCTGGAAGACAGATGACACAACAGCTATCCTTGGTTCCCTCAGTTCCCTCAGTTCCCAGTCTTCCAACAAGTGAAGGCGATTGAAGACTGTTACGGCTGAAGGGTGCACTCACAACTGATTTCTATATTTTTCTGCCTGTTTTTGGAAAATAAAACAACCAGAAACACATCAGTATCATGTACATTTGGTTTTGACGTCACCCCAACACCTATTAAAAATGATAGCAAATGCGGTTTATCTGACTTTTAAGCACTGATTCAGAAAATGAATCAAAGATTTTTTATGTGAGAGATCTAATTGTCACATCAGAAACTGATAAAATGCCAGTTGTGTGCACACCTGGTAAAAGTAAGTTACTGTTTTCCTGTAAGTTTCATTTTCGCAAACAGGCACAAAAGGAGCTGCATTTGCACACGGCACATGTTTAGTTTTCAGTAACTGAATTTCTCTTCATTTTCCAAGTTTGAAAGGTTTGGATGTGAACTTTATTCCACAAGCATACAGATGGAGTGAATTCATGTTGAATCCTGTAAAGCATACTCCTTGAGTAACATGTCCACAAAATGTTTGTGAAAACAACATCTCAATTAGAAGCTGGTGTGTGAAGTGTCCATATACATGCACGTATTTAGGGGTTGGTTTGTAATTCCAAAGCTTCATTGCAGCATTTTCATGCAGTGGGGAGTTGGGTTGGCATAGTGGCTCTTTCCTCACCTCCCACCTCTGCAGTCCGGGTTCGAATCCCGGCCCGGTCCACATGTGGATTGGGTTTTCAGTCCCTGCCTGATTCCGTGGGTTTTACCCAGAATATTCCTGTGGGATTTTCCTGCCATCTCTAAAACTGTAACGGCAATGTCATTGTCTCCTCTGTGCAGGTGTCTTCAGGCTTGCGAGCTACAGTGCCTAGGGTGCTTTTGAGGAATCCTTGATGTCATTACCAGAAATGATCAGTAATAATAATAACACCTGTATACTGTGTAATCAGTACTTCCATGTTAGTTGAAAACAAAATTTGCGGACTCTCACTCTTCAAAAAGATAACTGCACAGTGCCGACTTTCTTTCATGGATTTTTTAATAAAATTCATCTTGACTGACAAGCTAGTATTACCAAGTATCGCTTTCCACTAATCCCACCTGAAGTATAAGTAATGCACTTAAATGAAAATTACATTGCTGACAATTACAGCCTGCTTAATCTAATTCCCTGGACATTTTTATCACCAACTTCTGCCTCTGCCAAAATCCAGTGCCGTGCTGTGATCCCAAAACACTGTGTCTTAAAGGGTAACAAAAATTGAAAACATTTAGTTCACGTGAAGTATTTAAAAATAATAAATACACAACCATTTCAAAAACATTGTAAATTTAATGTTTCTCACATTAATTATAACCCCCAAATGAATGAAAAGATCCTGCGTTTCCAGCCCACAAAAAAATCCCCTTTTGGCCGTTCTCCCAGGCTAATTAGATGACGTCATCACCAGAAAGCTGACATGTACAGTGTATTGTGCACAGTACATGTACCAGCAGTATCGCACGCTTGCGACCATGTTGTTTGATGTAGCTTGGCCAACAGGCAAACACTGTCTCAGTTTCAGGAAGAAATTAAAAGACACACTTCTTACAGTGTATTTCTTGAACTGAGACAGTGTTTGCCAGTGGGCCAAGCTACATCAAACACAATGTGGTCTACTGCAAGCGTGCTATGCTAGACTGCGTGTACTGTGCGTAATGTACATGTCAGCATTCTTGCGATGATGTTATCCAATCAACCTGGGAGTGCGAACAGCCAAAACGGGATTTTTTGTGGGCGGGGAAACGCAGCATCTTTTTATTCATTTTGGGGTCACATGGGGTAAACATGAAATTTACAATGTTTTTGAAATGGTGACATATTTAGCATTAAAGTAAGTTTTTCAGTAATGTAGCTTTACATTGCATCTAAATACTGTCATTTGGAAAAGTTTAAGACCACCTGGAATTTGCTTGGTATTTCTGTCCCTGGCCCAGCCTTACATTATTTCATTGAATGATTACAAACAATGTTTTTCTACAGTGGTGACTATACCAGAGTAGTGCTGTGAGCCCTTTTGCATGAACTTTGTTGCAAAGGCAGGTCTTGTGTGGCATGGGTTAAAAAAAGGCCAGTCTAAGTAATCAGAAATAAAGGAGGGCATACTATATATTAGACTTTTAACATGTCAAATTATGGAAATGTAGTCAAATAGCTGTTTAACCATATTAATGTACACTGTACTAAGTACACATTGAAAATAAACATCAGTTGGCATGATTGATTGGTTTAAGTTTGGTTTTTCTTCAGGTTAATGCATTTTGTATTGGTGGTCCTAGACTTTAATAAATGACTTGTAAAGCAAACAGGGCTCTTCATGTTGCAGCATCACTCAGTTGGGCGTCCTGGTGAGTGGACGTCGTTTGTGAAAAAAAGATGAGAGTTCACGCAGATTTACATAGTACACGATTCTTTAAAAAGGCTTAAACTCAAAGTGGCTGGGGTGACGGGTGACACGTCAGATTGGGTCACATTTGGATTATGGGTGATTGGGGTTACTTAATGTGTAGTCAGTTACGTCATGGTTATGTCAATGATGGATCAATCCTTATGCATAACACAATGACATGTACATGTATAAATTATTATTAAAGAAAAAAATACAAATGTTAACTGTTCCTGTCTCAGAAGATATGAATTTCAGAATTTATAGTCCTGGCTAAAAAACTCTCCCTGATTTTTACCTAAAAACAGTTTATTTAAATTTTATGGGTAAAATTTGGCTTTTAACATGATTAAAACGCAAGTTCTGGAGAGGGAAAAAGATGTGACCCACCGGTCCCAAAACCAGGCTGAAATAGGTAACTTCATATCCCCGAAGTAGTGGAATTTTCACTTCACATTTTCATGGCAGTTCCACAACTACCATTCCCCATGTAACACTTTCTGCAGAAAGAATTGAGACTTTACATGTACATGGATGACTTTGAAGTGTAAAAAGAAAGATGGGGAGAGGAATCGTCAAACATCACAATTACCCATTTCAGTCTGGTTTTGAAATGGTGGGTCATACACATGTTAGCAATCACATTTTAAAAAAATTTAACATGCAAGTAAAAATGTGATGTGCCATCCACATCTGTATCTGATATTGCAATACATGTAAACGAGGAATCACATGCAACACTGTACATTTATCTCTGTCACCTTTGCCACACCTAGCTTGCAAAACCTTACATCTCATACCTCACACAAAGCAATACTAACAATTGAAACCCAAAAGAGTGAACACATCCGAGTCCAAACAGAACCACTCAAAACTTCCCTTAAGAATTATTCAACTCTTTGTTGCAAAATTGTTCAATTCCTGGTAAAAAAAAACACCAATGAATACTGTTTTGAAGAATGCTTGACGCTTCGTTCTAATAAACCCCCATAAAACAGCTTTGAAATTTTTCAGTCAATTTTGCAACGCTGTCATTTTAAAAAATTTTTTCCCTTTTCCCCATTGATATTACCCACCCAAGTATTCAACCTCAACATTTTGGCAGCACTAATAAAAAGCATGTACAATTTTTATCTTCATTTTAAAACTTTCCGAACAAACTTCAAATATTGCTTTGGGTCTAGCACAAATCGACGAACACATTTAAGTATAAACCGATGTCACCTTATTAAAGGCTTTAATAGCCTGCCAATGAGGGACAACATGTGGGCACGTCATGTGCACACAATGGCTCGGACATGTCACAATCACGAACAATCACAGCGACTTTTATTTTGACGGAATGAGCAATCTGGCATATTCATGTGAGCTGTTGTGCCCAAGTTAGTCATGATAAGTTCTGTTACTTGGCAGATACCTGTAGCAGCTACAGAAAATGCTACAACTTTACTCAGTGACATCACAGAAACAGCGCCCTCGGCGTCAGGATACAGCATGGGTGTTGCAAACAGTAAAAAATTAAAGGTAAAACATGGATTTAAAAAAAACAAGGGATTTAAAAACAGTGTGTGTTGCTTTCACACAAGTCAGCCGTAAGCGTACAGTGTGTCTGCATAAAAGCTTCAGTGAAACACTCATTTCATGAACACTTACATGACTTAGATCGGACATTATGGGGTTCTTCAGAATGAAAAAATTATTTCTTTGGGTCCAGCCCATTGGCTACAAACAACTCCTCTATAGTGTCGACCTGGTCTTGTAAGCACGTCTGGTATTCACGTATATCGTTCAGCACCACCTCTTCTGATTCCCCATTGGCCAGTTTCTGCATGAGGTCACTGTAGTAGGGAGCCGCATGGAACGCAACCTACGGTAGCGATACACAACAAAGAACAGGGTGATTGTTGCTCACACCGCTTAGTGAGTCGTGCATAGAATAGGTACCAGACTTGAGACAGTTTTCATGTCATGACGATGAAAGCTTCAACTCTTCTTGGATATGAATACAAACAGAGCTAATAATGCCGAATTAACCTGCCAAATCTACACTTCCAACGTCAGCCGTGCTTCTCTCATGAATATCTAGAGGACTTCAGTAGCCTCGGAAAAATCTGTTTCTTCCCAGCTCTTCCCCCAGGACCCCCACCATGCCCACCCCTAACACCCATCTCCCCACCCCTTACACCCCCAACAAAATACCCCCTGCATGAAACTTGAAAGCCACTTGTGGACCAAATTCACAAATTGGAGAACTCCTCTGACGTACCCCCACAGTTTTCTTGACAAGCCAGTTATGGTAGACTTCTAGTGTGGCTTTGTATGCTGCAGACAGCGCAGGAATGACACTGTTGTCTTTCACATTACCATCTATAAGGTTCTTCAAAATTTTGCACACAAAATTTAGCCCTCTGAAACAAAACACACAGAAAGAGTAATGATTTAACGGAGCTAAACATTTCATTGTTGAATAAGAAAAGCACAGTGAGAGTACTTTTTGTTTTGTGAAAAATGGTGTTAGAACTGAGTTTATTAGGTAATTTACATTACCAAAGCAGAACAATTTTATGTTACTAATCCTACTCATTAAGTCGTGGGTGAATTTTTCCTCTGATACCTACCTACGTGTACATGTACCATTACGTTACAGTTAGGACAACGAACTGACCTAAAAATGAACTAAAGGAATATTTTATTTCCGCTCGTACACAAATCTACATGTACTTTACATGAAAATCTGCTTAGCCAAATTTTCGGCATAAAATTTGACCCAGGTTATTACCTGTTGAGCCATAGCAGTGCCTCAGTTGCTGAGTTGCTCTTGAAACCTCTATCGTTTTTGACTTCTTCTTCAATAATATCTGCTAATGTGCTGTATATCTCTGGACCTTCATCATATCGTTTCCTCACTTTCTGGGCTCAGGGAAAGCAAGAGAAATTAAGTAAGATTTGAAAAAAAAGACTGTGAATCAAACCAGTCTTACTCGGTTAGGTTTTTGTGGTGGTATATTCCATGCTTTCCCTTTCCGTGACCCTGGTTCGAATCCTACTCAAACCAACAAGTAGATTAGGTTTTTTTGTTCCTATCTGTTTTGTTTCCTGTGGAAATTTATTGGAGATTTTCTTTTCACTTATAAAATCTTTACCTTGGGATATGAAACTTACTTTCTGTCGTTTATTTTTCAAAACAGTCCACTCACTTGCTGAAAGGATAATGACATTTCAAGGGCTTTGAAAAACTGCAAACTTCCCTGTGCATAAGTGATCCTGGCTGCTACTAAATCCAGCAATTCCATGAATTCTGCTGCATGTGAACAGCTGTGAAGTTATCTACATGTACAGTAGCTCCACGTAATGAACAAGTGCGTGTTATCTGACTGGACAGTGAAACGATTAAATTTACCATTAAACTACACGAACATATATGTACATTGTACCTTAATGTTTCCATTGACATCTGATTTGACAAAGGCAAAGGCATTTGGTCCGAGCATATCTGTGCAGAAAAACCGAAAGACTGCAGGTAAATACGAGTACGGTATAACTCGGCACAAGTATTCTTGCAGCATACCATTACCAGGTATTCAGACAATTTACAACAAAAAAGAAAGAACCTGATGCATAATGAGGAAATCTTTTTTATTTGACCAGCTTTCAATATGTTAACACTTTCTTTCAAATTACGCAGATCTGCATCTGCTCTTAGTTATTCATAAAGCGGTCAATGCAGCAACAGGTCTGAAGTGAAAATCTGTGCTTGGTCGTGCTGGTACCACCATAAATACACATGTACCAGCAGATTCCTACATGTACGTGACCATGATGGAAGAAGGACAAACAAATGAGGACAGGCCTACATGTACGTGTCTGCTGATTTGTTCCTGCAACCATGACAGAGACAATGAAGGTCACTGTACTTGTACATGTACATGTAGGCCTGACCACAAAACATTCAGTCTTCATGTACATGTACCGCAGAGAAAAAATGAAGGGACATATAAATGTCCAATTGCAATTATCCAGGTGACTTTAGTCAGTTAGTTGAGACCTTTTAAAAACAATTTTGCATTAACTTAATGGATATCAAAAAAAGAAAAAAAAAACCACGCACCGAATACCCAGCTAGGTCCAAAGAAATTGTGACAAAGTATGAATTAACAGTGACATGAATACTTCAGTTATTACCCCGGTATAAGCAGGCCTATTGAAAATTGTAAAAAAGACAAAATCAAGACAAATGCAGGGGGATGTGTACCTCAAAATGTGTACCTCAGATCCCCCTCCTTTATTATTCTTACAAAACAGGTCAGTCCTCAAAAGAGTGAAACCAAAGGCAACGCTTTCTCTAGTATGCTCACTCTTTCTTATGAATTTAGAATCGTAAATTGCAATAAACACCTAAAACTAAGTAAACAGAAAAAGTACTGAAATAAGTCAACATCCCAAAAGAAAAGGAAAAAAAATAACCAGCTGATCCCCTCCCCATAAACAAACACATACAAAAGAAAAACGCACACACAAAATAAAATCGAAAACTGACAGGAAAGAAAAAGGGGAGAGAAATGAAACCACACACACTCCGTGCAGTTCACAACCTGAGGAATGGAATGATGACTGGACATTTAGACATGTAAATGACAAAAGAAATTGTAATGCAAATGACAAAAGAAATTGTAATGCAAATGACAAAGGAAAATGAAGACACTAAAAATGATAATATAAAAAAATAAATGACATAAAAGTAAACAAATGAAATAAAAAGTAAAAAATAAAAAGTAATATAATAATAAAAGTAAAATAAAAGAAATAAAATCCCTTAAGATATATACAACCCAAATAAACCGAACAACTGATGGGAATGCAAAAAAGATACAAATAAAGATATCCATAAAAACTTAAAAAACAGAGAGTACGACACCCCATGTAAGAACAAACCCAAGGAATAATAAAAACAAATATGGATCACAAAACAAATATCAGAGAGAAAGTATATGTTCGATATTTTAAATCTGCACAAGTAACACTGAGCGCAATCTTTGAACGTGTGCAAATTTCGTGCCTCGAACTGTGCGATTAAAGGGAGTACGAGTCATGATGGACCTGGCTGCGGCAGTGGCACGGAGGTTCCCATTCCTTTCAAAGTCTCCAGGGTGCATTCTACCAAGTCATTGGATTTCGGCACAAGAGCTCATGACAGGGTTTTCACAATAAGACATGCCATAATAAGGATGGATCATAGGGTTATTTCTATAAATCATAAATTTGGGAGTGGTAGCATAGTTTCCAATTCGGGGTATTTCCTTCACAGAAAGCCCCCAACCTGTGGGCCTATTTAGGATAGAGGCAGGTGGCTACATTCAGAGCTGAATGCATACTTTTACTACTACAGGTATTTTGGGGAATCCTTCGATAAAGGTGAATAAAAAAAATCGCCTAGCTAACCCAATAAAATGGACACAAAAAGTGAACTTCTGGCCATAGTCTTGAATTTACAGTGAAAAACTGAAGGCCACCTCTTCCCGAGAGCCAACAGGCAGAGCTATTTTGGTCCTATTTTGCACTGTTTTCTATGGACACATATTCGGTGCAGTGCAACCCCCAGTTATCTGGCACCTTTCAGGCTTGGTAACTGTTGCCTTGAGTAAAGGCTAGGATTCCAGTAAAAACTAGTAGTTTTGGGGGGCATTTCAAAGTTCTTATTTTCCCTGATTGTTATTTACTTTGTTGGGGATCCTACTTTTAATTTTGTTCCAGATATATTTCTGATTAATACATACGCAGCTCTAAGAACTTTCCGAATTAAATGTCAACAGGGGAATTTAGTTCTCACAAGGAATCTTTCAGATGGAAGAAAAGTCCAAATTACATGTCCATGTAAATGTCAACAGGGGAATTTAATTGTTCTCAAGTGGCACCGTTCATCAAAATGCTTGAATGGCGAAACTTCTCGTGGCCGGTCAGCATGACGCATCTTGCCCCAGCCCCATACCACCTGACCATACTGTACATGTACATACACACCTCACATGTGAGAAAAAGACCTGACAAAATCAAGCTAAAAGTGTAGTTGGTGTCAGTCTCTTCAGCACGACTGTTGGCTGTGGTTCATCCACAAATTTTTTACACCCAGAACTGTGGGGTCCAATGTCCGCCCCGTGTGGGAGTGGGGTCGGACCCCACAGTTCTGGGGGTAGGCCTAGCATTTTATTATCGCTGTGTGCAATTTTTATGGCAATACCTGGTTGCGCAAAATTTTAAAACTGCGCACGCAAATTTTAAATTTGCACACTTTCAAAGATTGCACTCAACATACACACATGCAGGGTCCATGCACGGTATGGGTTCATGTGTCACCACTGATCACAAGGCGACAAGCCACACCTGTTTGACCGATCCCGTCTAAAAGCGAAAAAGAGAACTACATGTAGGCCTAGGCCTACTTTAGGCCTAGAGCTAGTCCCACACTTTTAAAGTGTACGGCGCGCACGCGCACAACACGTCCACGACGTCAGGCTCTATCCTTATCAACAATAAACACTCACCAAGTAAAGGCAGAATAGAATCTGTACACGCAAGCAGGAAGGGTAATGTCTGTATTCGCTTGTCCTCTGGAACTGGAACATATCTGTGCTCCAAGTTCTTGTGAAAAGACATCTTTATGGAATAAGGGACTGAATAAGAGTAGCAATCACGGTCACACACTACCGGCACGGGGGTCGGGGCACGTATGTAAACGTACGATCTCACAATCTACATGTACATCATGTGAATGACCAAGGGTTTCGCCAACATCATGTCAGTGATTTAGCCGAGCCACTAGCGTTTCCGTCTATGGCTAGGTCGCACTTGGGATTCTCAGCAGTAATATCAAGTGACACATGTGAAGTAAGTCGTAGCGAGTTATAACGTCAAGCACCCGACTAAACTACATGCCACGATTGGTGGCGTCCTATCATTTTTGTTTTTCAAGGAATTAAAAAGTGCTGAACTTCACTGCCATTGCCATGACTGCGGTAAACAGAGCCCGGAAGGATCGAACAATACGACAGTTTACTCCTGTAAGTCCCTCAGAACTGGCATAGAATTTCACTTCTTTAATGGCAGACGTTTGGGATTATTTCTTGCTGAAATTCATTATCAAAATATGCAGTCATGGCAGTTGAATGGCACAACCACTTGACCATGTTGATTGACCAGCTGACAGCTCCCAGTCCCACTTTTTTCAAGATGTATTTTTGCGTTGGGGAGATGTTAATTATATATAACGAGTTTTGCCCTTACCCAACGTATATTAATAAGCACTGTATGCACAGTACTTGTCCGAGAGCTTGCGAAAAAACCTCACAAGCTTACTCGGGTGGGACTCGAACCCAC